TGCTGATAATATTTAGATTCTTGAGGACCTGATAGCTTGGTGCGTCCACGTAGATAAATATGTAATACTACAACAGACACAAGGCATGAGCACAGAGAAAGCGAAAAAATTGTATTTCAAGTACCTGCAAGAGATTCTTGACGAGATAGAGCATTGCCGGAATCGGATAAACTTTTACTTCGTCAAATGTTGTGTTGAGCCTGGACAAGTAGAAAAGAGAAAGAATGTCAAGCAAAGGAAAAGAGGAAACAAACAAAATTCTGAGGTGGGTGGAGAATGCATACTGCGCATTACTTGTTATCCTCCGTGACGCCTTCGTTTTGCCACACTCTGAACAAAGCCACAAGAGAAATGACGCATTTTAGAAGCTCGACCTGCAGACAGAAAGTGGAATTGAGCAAAGCAATGGCAGCAAATCTCACCCAACACAGACCAGGAAATTTGCCGTTGTGACACTGTATTTGTAGAATCCCGCGCGCTTGGTCCAAGCAATCAGGATCCCTTGTGAGCTTGTGAGCACCGTGAGCGCGACAATGACAACCGATCTGGACAGGGAATGCCACATTGACTCATGGAATGCAGGCAGGCAACACGTACCTTCTCTTCCACTCCAGTGTCTCCGCTTTCACGGCCATCGCAGCTCCTTCCTCCTCGTTCTAGGGTTTATGACATCACAGCTTACACTTTTTTGTTAAACAAAGTTAGTTGCCCTAAGGTTTCAAAGGCTGGTAATTGGCGGGAAGGGCTATGGCGGCGAGGCAAGCCGCAAGGCTGCGCAAGGAGCTCCAGCTGATGCAATCGAATCCTCCGCCAGGTGCGTGTGTCTGGCCCTCGCAAGACACCCTCACGCATCTTCAAGCTCGTGGGTAATCGTTCCATTCACTCGAATCGACATTGGCAAGTCGATCTCTGATGGATGGCGTGGCAGAGATTCAAGGCCCCGAGGAGACCGTTTATGCCAACGGCATGTTCTTCCTCGACATTGAGATACCCCAGAGGTAAGAGATGATGCTTTTGGCGAGCGATCTAGAAAAATGTGGTGTGGCTACGTGTAGATACCCTTTTGAGCCCCCCAGTGTGAGATTTAAAACTCCAATCTACCATCCAAACATTGACAGTGGTGGCCACATTTGCCTAGATCTGCTCCACATGCCTCCAAACGTAAGTGGCACGAAATTCTAGTGTGCGCTCTCAGTTCAATTCTTTTCAGGGCTCTTGGAAGCCTTCGCTGAACATCGCGACGTTACTGCTGTGCATCAGACTGCTGCTATCGGAGCCAAATCCAGATGACGGGTTGATGAGCGAAACTGTGAGTAGTTTTCCTCTTTTGTCGACCCCCTAAACTAATATGTCGACAGGCTGCCGAGTACAAACACAATCGTCCGGCGTTTGATATGAAAGCAAAACAGTTTACGGAGAAGCATGCTACACAAGAACACAAAGGCGGTGGAGTTCTTGCCGATCCTGTGACAGAGGTTAGTGAGCCAGTTGCCACCAGCCTTGGACAAGCAGCGATACTGCCTGGGAAAAAACTAATAGTCGGCGGAAAGCATGAAACTACTGAGGCAGTTCGAGCAGAGTCTTCGAACGGCCCTGGGCAAGCTGAGGACTTTCGAGTCGTCGGCAGTCTTCACCAGAAAACTTGTCGAGCTCTTCAACAAGCACCAAAACAAGCAAGATGGCTGTCAACCAACAAACCATTCGAACCGACTCGCACTTACGAAGGCGAGGACACTTCCAAGACTGATAGCGGTGAGGATCCTCTCATTGTCTCCGACAGTGGGAGCGAGGATGAAGTAGCCGACAGCAGCCGAGCTCGACTTAGCAAGTCCTTGGCTCTGAAACGCAAGGCCGAGAGGACTTAGATGAAGAACTTGTTTACAGACGTTCCAGAGCTCCTTAAAGTGTTGATAGTTGGCGGTCACTCCCGTATATGTTATACTTGCGATGCTGCAATGAGGAGAGGACATGCCAGTGTGTCACAGACGAAAGAGACGAGAGTATTACCTCGGCAATTGGCATGTTCCTCCTCACTGTCTTGAGAAGCTCCTCGTCTATGTCCGCCACTGCGATGCCCGTCACCAATCTATCTGCACCACCGACGGAGCTTTCTTGATCTTGAGACATAGAAGTAGAGGATCCAACCTGGACACCTTGCAACGACGCTTCCCCAAGGATCAATAATCATCGCATCACCATAACTTTCCCGGAGATCGTTGTGCTTCCCAGACTGAGCCGCCGCAAGAACCTATGTTATGGCTCGGACTGTGAGGAAAGACGAGGAGAGATATAACAAAGCTTACGTAGCACTGCGTTTCAACAGCACGAGCTCGCAGGAGGAGCTCCCAGTGCGCTTCTCCAGTCTTGCGAGTAAATGCCGAAGGAACAAGCAGCACCTGTCCAAAAAAGCCAGCTGAAACGAGGTAGTGAGGAAGAGCATCGTCCAGACCTGGGCATTCTCCGCAAACCTGAGACGCTGGTACAGCTCCGGGAATCTCAAGTCGTAGCATATCGTCAGACCGAGTGTGCCTACCGGGGTTTGAGCAGTAACCACTTGTGTTCCTGTCCAAAAACCTGCGTAAACTAGTACTAGCTCACTCATCACTCACTCACCAGGAGCAGTGCGATTGCTCTCCTTCAGAACTGGGCCTCCGGGAACATCCACATCAAACCTGGAAGCCAGGCAATGAGAAAGATGACGAGAACTTCTACGTTTTCTACTTACAGGTGGATCTTCCTGTAGCACGAGCGCACTGAGCCAAGGTCGTCGAGCAGGACGTGAGTGTTATACGCGTGGTCCTCGTCCGGCCCCTTCTCTTGGAATCCGCCCAGAGAGAGCCACAAGCCCAAATCTCTACCAAGAGACGCAGCTAGCTTAGAGGCGACGAGGAGAAGAAGGCCATCCTTTCCTACCTCGCCAGGGCTTGATACCTCCGGAAAATCGGCCCGTCGAGAGGCTCCGCAATCGCCAGTGCCTCGTCGCCTCGGCGACCAATGAAGGAGAAGCATTCGGGCAAGCTCAGCAGTTTCACTCCGGCGTCAGCAGCCTCCTGCCCACTCACAATCCAACGCAATGCAAGCCGATGGAGAGCTTGAGACTCTTCTTCTTACTCTGGCCAGGCGCTGGCAAGTGGCGAAGTTGAGATCGATGCTGGAGGTGGAAGTCATTTGAGCCACGGCGACCCGCATGGCGCTCCCGGTCGAGGCTGGCACCATGGATATAACAAGACTTTGCCCTACCTAGGTCCAGCCCGTTTGTTTGCTCATGGACAAGGAGCGCGTGTCGCAGGTAATGCTGCTCGTCAGCTCGCATCTCCCGCAGCGCGATCTGTGCGCGCTGCTCTGCGTCAACACCGCCTGCCGTGGCGTGCTCTTGTCTCACGCGTCTCTCTGGAAGGTGTGATTCTATCCTCGATCGATCTTTGCACTGACGCTCCTTGTTTCTTCGTTTGAAGGCGATCAATTTGCAAGGCAAGAGTCAGGCCGGGAGGCGCCTGCTGGCTGCTCTCTCGCTGGTAAAAGTTGCTACGTTTTGGCGCATGGGCTGACAAACCGCGAGCTTGCTTAGGCGCGGTACCAGGATGTGGAGGAGATCAACCTGGAATTCGGACAGGATGTGCAAGACGAGCACCTGGCTGCTGTAAAGTGCAAGGTGTGGAAATTCTCTTGTGTTCTTGCTCGTCCCTACTAGACTCTTTGTTTAGAAGCTGCAGCGTCTCAACCTTAATGCATGCCAGAAGATAACTGATGCTGGAGTCGAGGCAGTAGTCTCCGAGTGTAGAAGCATCACGAAACTAGAGATCTACTGGAACCTCAAGTAAGTCGTGGTTTGTCATTCTCTTGAGCCTGGTGTAAATATAATAATGGCATGAATGCAGGGTCACGGATGCTGCCGTGAAAAGCATCGTCACCAATCTAAAGGAGCTGGAGCTTTTAAACCTCAGTGGTTGCAAGGTTCGGAGCCTTTTCATAGTTCGCAACGTTCACTAGTGATTCTTTGAGCAGAGTATCACGGATCAAAGCATGCGCCACCTTGCGGAGCACAGTCCATCCATACGAAGCTTGAACCTCACGCGGTTTGCATCTATATGCGTTTATTGCCTCGATTGCCTTTCTAAACGTCTACTTCTTGTGAAAGGTGCGTGAAACTAACGGACGAGGGGCTTTGCGAGATTTTGAACGTGTGCTTGCAGCTGGAGGAGCTCTATTTATACGCTCTCTCTGGGTAAGGCCTCGTTTCTTTCAAGGACCTGAATGTGTTTCTCTTGCCTCGCGTCACAGATTCACTCCCAAATCTTTGGCTCTGATTGGAAACCTTGAGGAACTCAAAGTCCTGGAGCTAACTGGTGCACAGGTATGCAAGAAACGTCATCCGGGCACTTTTATCCGGCGGTGATGCTTGTGCAGGAACTTTCATCCAACTGCTTAGTTTCGATTTCAAAGTGCCATAAACTCGAGTCCCTGTGTCTGAGCTGGTAAGCTTCATACGCTTGCATCCATTGGTGTCACTCGCTGTCCTCAGGTGTGTGAGGATCACGGACGCTGGACTGAAAGCACTGACTTGTCCGCTCAAGCTTTTGAGGTAAACGAGGCCATTCTCTCTTCGTTGTCTGTTGTTCTGTGAGTCAAGTGATTGTTCTTTCGCAGCCTACACGGTATTCTGGGTGTGACGGACGAAGGATTGGACGCCTTGGCATGCTACTGCTCCAAGACACTGCATACGCTCGACGTGAACGGATGCATCAACATTAAGGTGTGTGAGCCCCGAAGCACGACGAACGCGATGCTATCACTGTTTCTCTGGCAGAGACGATCCAGGGAAGAACTGCTGCAACGCTTTCCCCGCCTCGAATGCTTTCAAGTTCACAGCTAAGTGCCGGAGGGGTGGCGCATATTCGCGTGGGGTTTGAAATGTGGAGTGGTGGCACATTTTAGATAGCTCACGCACTTTGGGCCCTAAAGCTTTCACCTTTCGCGTTGGGCGCCCCGGCCGTGGAGCACCGGAGCCCATGGCTCGCGCTCGCCAAACATCGCGATGGGCAATCATGTCCATGTTCGCGCTCGTCGCCAGCTCGCATTCTTTCCTGTGTCCGGCATTGGGCAGCCTCGCGTTGGATCCCGGCTCCGTGAGTTTGGATGCGAGCGATGGCACCGCCGGCGCTCCCCGTGCTGCTAGCGCCATGCGCGTCAATCAGAGTGCCATGTCGTCTTCTTCTCCTTCCTGTCGATCTTGCCCGGAGAACCGGAAGCGCTATGTGGATTGGCTGAGGGAGATTGAGACACAATGCAAGCTAAGGCATCGGCAGACATCGCCCAAGGTTGGGTGGCTACAGCACAAGTTCTTCGATTCCAACCTCACGACCAGCTTCGTGGTGGTGGATCAGGACGGAAATGGCGACCATGCATCCGTTCAAGAGGCCATCGATGCTGTCCCAGTGAACAACACCGTCCCAATCACCATCTTTGTCTCGCCGGGGGTCTACCAGTGAGTTTCTGATCTCTCTTTCTTTCAGAACGTGTAGATTTGCCTGCCATTTGATATGATCGTGCCGTTGTCCCAGGGAGAAAGTGAAGATCGTGGAAAGCAAGCCATACATTACGCTTCAAGGATCAGGGGCCGACTTAACAACGATTGTATGGGATGACTACGCAGGAAAGCTGGGCGTGGATGGCTCTCACCTTGGGACGTTCCACACAGCCACGGTTCACGTCAGTGCTCCCTACTTCAGTGCCAGGGGTATCACGTTCAAGGTGAATTCAATTCTCCCGTCAACTTCTCTGACTTCTATGGTGTTTCATTTCCATAGAACTCGGCTCCGGTGCAACCCGCCGGCTCGCAAGCCGTGGCGTTCCAAATCACCGGAGACATGGCTGCATTCTACGAGTGCAACTTCATTGGTGCTCAAGACACTCTGTACGATCACTCGGGCCGTCACTACTTCAAGAGCTGCTTCATCCAGGGATCGGTGGACTTTATATTCGGCAACGGCCGCTCCCTGTACAAGGTTTGCATGGGCCTGTGGCCGAATGACTTTGCTCAAGAGCGGTTTTATGTGTCTGTTAGGATTGCGAGCTCAACGCCATTGGCAGCGGAGCGCTGACTGCTCAAAAGAGGCAAAACGCGAGTGACAACACGGGTTTCTCGTTCGTAAACTGCCGGATCCTGGGGAATGGCTTGGTGTACCTGGGCCGTGCTTGGGGCCCCTTCTCTCGCGTCGTCTTCCTCTACTGCTATATGGACTCCGTTATCAACCCCGGCGGCTGGGACGACTGGGGGGATTCATCCAGAGACATGTAAGTCATCACATCTCAATTTTAAGCTGGATGATCGTTCTTCTCATGGAGATATCTGGATTTTGCGGTGGAGCTCCAGGACTGTTTTCTACGGCGAGTTCAACTGCACGGGTCCAGGAGCAAACGGCATGCGTCGTGTTCCATGGTCGTATGTGCTAACGGAGGCGGAGGCCCAGCCTTTCTTGGACGAGAGGTTCATCGAAGGTGACGCATGGCTGCAGTATCTATGACCCCGCGTATTCTCCTTTCCTACCAAATTTTGTTCCTCGAGATACAATGTATAAGCGAACGAGCTTTTTGCCGTTTTAAGAAGAAACACAAACCCTAGCTAGGGCTCTTGGGCGAAGGCATGGACTTCGATTTCGTGGACGAGTGCCGCCCCAACTTCCGCTTGCAATCCAATGCGGGTGTTCCACCCCAGCAAGGAGATCCCACCGTGGACAGGAGGCACGCCGCCATCTGTGTGATCCTAGGTATGTCTGTGCTGCTTTGCTGCGTGTGGGTGGCGGCGTGGTCGGCGATTGCGCAGCTCGTTGCAGCCTGGATAGCAGTGTCGCTCATTCTGGGCCCGCTTGCTCCCATTTCTCTCACGGCTGGCGATTGCAGCGTCGGCCAGGGTGCGATCGTTGCTCCTCTCGACCCATCTCCAGCTCCTCTTGCTGTGGATGCCGCCGCGGACAAGAAGATTTCTAGATCCAGGAAGCATGCCAGGGCTGCCAGGGCTGTGGATTCGTCGCCACAAGTCGATGGAACGGGAGGGATCCTAGAGGCGCAGGAAGGAAATGCTAGCTGGAATGGGACGGGGGAGAGTGACGGCGCAGTCGTGGAAGGGGAGTGGAGTGAGGAGGAGGTTGCATTCCTGAGAAAGCAGCTTGCCAAGCACCCGAGAGGAACAGCGAGAAGGTGGCAAGTGATCGCCCAAAGTTTCGGCGGTTCTCGCACGGTGGACAATGTAATCCAAATGGCAAAGGCTCTGGCAGACAAGAAGCCTGGCGACGACGATGCGTATGCCAAGTTCTTGGCACAGAGGAAAGTGTCGAGCCGGCAGATATCATTGGATCTCAGCCTGAGAGAGGAGGAGTTTGAGGAGGGATGGCAGCTTGTGGACGAGGAGGATGATCCTTCTCCTGCCCCTGGCGATGCAGGGAGCGTCGCCTGGTCAGATGGTGAAGACAAGGCGTTGCTGTCTGGTCTCAAAGCATTTCCGAAGGGCACACCGTCGAGGTGGGACAGGATACAGGCCACGGTGCGAGGCCGAAGCAAGAGCCAGTGCTTGAAGCGTTACTTGGAACTCCGAGATGGCTTTCGGAGCTCAAAGCTGCGAAAAGAAAGTTGATATAACATGGATGGGAATGCTTAGAACACTATGCGTAATTCAATTCCGAGTCGTCCTTTGAGATGTCGAGCCGCGCGTCAAGTTTGGCGTTTCCAGTGTCCGCGAACGAGCAAGGGCCAAGTAAGCTGATTAATCGGTCGAAGGAAGACATTTGTCCTTGCTCCTTGACAGACGAGACGGGAGAGCGTTTTGCACAGGGTTGTGGTTACTGTCGCAGTCTTTATGGATGTCTCTTTCAGCGCGTAAAAGAAGGGATGATCCTCAAGACAAGAAGATAATACATATTGAATAGGGGCTGGCACAACAAGTTGTGTTGGAGGATCAACAATAAGAGATCTCATCTCTCCCCCCCTCGGTCTTATATTTTTTGTTACGTGGGATTAAGAAGCTTTGGACGTCAAAGGCTGCTATGAATATGAATCGAAAGAGACATTGGAATTTGGAATGATGAAATGGATCGCGTCTGGCACGGGGCGGCACGGCACGGCGGCTCTGGTTTGCAATCTAGAGAGCATCTGGTCTAGAATCTGGAGTGGAGAGACTTGTTGCTCGAGGGTCAGCTTGCAATCCTTCGTCAGCTCGCAATGAATGTACTCGGTTAGGAAGATGAGTCAGTCAGGCAGTCTCAGGAATAGGAAGAGCGGAGGAAATCGAAATCCATTTTTGTTTTCAGTTTTGTGGTCCATCAACTGCTGCTGCTGCTGCTGCTGCTGCTGCTGCTGTTGTCCACTCCCCGCACTCACATCATGATTCCCCAAGGGCGGGCTCCACGCCCATTATTAATTACCCGGCTAACGCCAGGAATCGAGCCCGCAACTCATCCGTCCGTACCTTGCCCGGCACGAAAGCGAGCAAGGCGCCACGCGGCGAGGGTGTGCATTTTTGGCGCGCTACCCCTCCGCCCTCACCGTCACGGTCACGTCCACCCTCACCCTCACTCTCACCGTCACCGTCACCATCACCCTCACCAGGTTCTCGCAACATTCGCAGCCATCATTCCGCACGCCAACGACGATGGATTGGATTGGATTGGGTGGATGGTGCGATGGCAAGGGCGCCGAGGTAAAGGCAGTCGAGGGAGCGGGGTGGACACAACAAATTCCGAATCCCGCATGAGTTGTCATGGGGGGGCTTTTTTGGAAGGTTAAGGCCGGTTGGAAGCACGCGAGAGCATTGTTTTTGTAGTAGGCAGTGAGGGGGTGGCATTGTGCGCCCTTCGTCGTTGGTGATCATCCTCTTCTCTCTTGTCGCCAAATCGCATCGGTCGCGTCGACGCGATATTTCGCATTGCCGGATCCGAATTGGTATCCATGGATCATCGCGCATTGGCTGGAATTGGCTAGGATTGGAGGCTATCGAGGGCGGCGAATTCTTCTTCCTCTTCTTCTTCTTCTTCTTCTTCTTCTTGGTTTGGCATCAAAGATAGAGCATAGAGTCCCTCCCATTCCACGGGAAGGGGAAGCTATGGATAGATAGGTGGGGAGCTGGACCGAATCATAGAGGCCTCAAGGAATTGGTCAGGGAAGCAGGGATCAAGATCACAGGATCAAGATCACAATCTACAAACTGTAGCAGTGATCGCTAATTCGATCGGTCGATTATGCTGGAGGGCGAGCGCAGCCTGACTAGCCCCGCGGAGCACGGCCATCACCATGATCACGAGCATCAGGGGTTTCTGCCTCCCCCAACGTATTTTCCCCCGCCGGGCGGCGAGACTGGCGGCGACGAGGACGAGGAGCTGTCTGTTCTTCCCAGGCACACCAAGGTTGTGGTGCGAGGTAACAATCGCACAAAGTCGGTTCTTGTGGGGCTGGAGGGCGTTGTCAAGAAGGCCGTGGGACTTGGAGGCTGGCATTGGCTGGTACGTAATGAATCCGGTGTGCCCGGCCGGGGGAGAGCTCACGCTCTCCTTTATAACAGTGGTTTAGGTTAGAGTAATCCTTTGAGTGCTTGCTTGTGCCAGGTGCTGACCAACGGGGTGGAGGTGAAGCTCCAGAGGAACGCGTTGACGGTGATCGAGCCACCCACAGGGCAGGAGGAGGACGATGAGATTGAGATCCCTGTGACCAGCGACACGGTGCTAGGTGGGTGCCCTCATCTCCTTGCGCACCCTTAACTTTGCTCCCTCGCAGACGATTTCCCTAGAACATTTAAGCCCCGCGTGAGGCAAAAGCCAGCCAAAGCAGACACTGGTGCTACCGCCACGACCCCTAGCATTACTGCATCACCATCGCCTCCGCCGCCTCCGCCGCCACCACCACCGCCACCAGCGGCAGCGCCATCGCCTCCTCACCAGCTAGATTTGACGACGCAGCAGCAGCAGCCGCAGCCGCAGCCGCAGCCGCAGCTCTGTGTGGACAAGAGGGTAGCAGAAGCGATGCCGTCGGCCGAAATCCCGGTGAGCGAGCGGTGGTTTTCATTTCATTGACCCATCTCTCCGTGGATATACAGGTTGTGGACCTGAGCAAGCTGGAGACGGCGGCCCTCCGCAAGTACAGGAAGCACTTCAAGCTTGTAAGTGGCACTCGCTCAGATCTCTTCTCATCTTGCTTCTCGGTGGTCTCAGAGCGATGTAGGCCGTAATTCGTCCAAGGAGCAGCTGTTGCGCGCCATCGAGAAGCACTTTGTTGCATATGTAAGTAAACGCTCTCTCCTCGCTTCTTCTCACACGAATTCCCCTTTGCTGCAGCAACTGGATGAACTGGACGTGATAACGGGCTTCCTTCAAGCTGCCAAGCGTCTCAAAACATGAACCAACAAGCCAAACAAGCCAAACAAGAAAGAGAAGAGCGGTACTAACAAAACAACCAACACCTGCCGTCTCGTTGTACATACAAGGAGAAGCAAAAGAGGATATATGTTTCTTCTTGTGTTTCTGTAGATAGCTACAGCCAAGCACGCCTGATGCGTTAGTCCCGTCTCACTTGGCGTGCCTTACTACCATGCAGTCGCGGCACTGTGCTTGCGCTGCTGCTGTCCCGAAGAAGCTCTGCCATATCTGGGAGATGGAGTATCCGTCAGTCGAGAACCAGCGGCGGAGATGGTTGACCGCGAAAAGGCTTGCGCGAGCTGCAGCGCTGACGATCCAAGCGACGACTTCCCAGCAACGCGCGACGGCATCTCTGCAAGCGCAGAGAGTGCGGGAGTGGGTTCCGCACGTCGCCTCCAACTTTCCTGCTTGTCAATATCTCTCTTGACATCCTGGTGATCCCTGCGATCCTGCCGACTCAAATCACGCCGAATCTCGTACCGGTCTGCTTCACTCCGTATTGGATCCTCTTCCCTCCGGTTGACTACCTTGCCACCTTCGTTATTGGTCCTACCCTGCTGCTGCCGAATTTCGAACTCTCGTGCCTCCGGCTGCCACCTTTCCTTCCGAATGAGCTCAGCAACATCACTGCAAGCCTTCATGTCAGCTCTGTGGCATGGAAACAGGAATATGGATACCTTGCAGCGGCTTCGACTGGAATGTCGTCTGCTCCACGCTGTCGAAGCACCTACAAAGAACATAAAAGTAAATACAAAGCTCGAACCATGGGTAGAATTGAGTTTACCATCTCTCTGGGGCGCGCACCACCGAACAAGCTTTGCCTGTATCCAGAAAACACATGAATTCTACGGTAGTGTAGCAGCATCCTCCACGTACCTCTCCTTGTCCGAAGCGGCTTTGTCAGGAGCCTGAGTTCGGGGCTTCAAGCTCAGCGTAGGCCTCTCCGAAGTTCGGTAAGTCTCGTGTTCTGTTGGGGCACTGGGTGTAACGACTGGTCTCGAATCATGGGTCTCCCTCTCACTTGCGTGCTGCTGACGCCCAGCGCGATCCGCCTGTGTCGCAGCTGAGAATCACAAACATGGATAGATTCTTACCTCGGACAAGAAGGTATCCTCGTCTTCAAAAAAATCATGACGATCTTCCATTGGCTTGGATCTAGGAAGGAGCTTTAGCTTGGGCCGTTCTCCAGAAGTGGACCGCAGCAAAGCAGCTCCAGTCTTCGTGGAATCAGAATACGTGCTGCCAACCATGGTAGACACATGGGCAGAGGATTGATGATTGAACTCGTGGTTGACTGCAGTAGCCGAGGTTCTGTTCCTTTCCGAATCAAACGATCGTTGCCTTTGCGGTCTTTCGTGATTTACAACGTTGCTATCAGTGGACTGACGCTCAAAGACGTTGGCAGGATGTTGACGGGCTCCAGGACCGTGTCTGGAGTCAGAGAGATGCTGTTGCTTTTGGCTTGCTTGTGCACCTGTGCTGTGTCGTCCATCATCACCCTGAGTATAATGAACCTCTAAACAATCATAAGCAGAAGTACTCCCGTGACCAGCGACCCTGTCCTCCTGAAAGCTGTGGTAGCTCTGTTCATTCACTCCCCGGAAAGAATCGCCTCGCTCAAAGTGGTCGTACTCAAACCTTGCTCTTTCCGACGCATCGCCGGCATCGTTAAAACGGCTGCGGTAGCCTCCTTCGGGAGTAGCCTCAGCTGGCTGCTGCTTCCAAGAGGCGTGATGATAACTATCCACCCTTCTGCCATCCTCCACTTCCTGCTGCTCTATCGCGTGGGAGATGTCCACCTTGCGAGCATCGACTTCGTAAAGCGGCTCCTTCCTGGGCGTAGCTGCTGGCTGCCACCTTCCAGAGGAGACCTTGTCGATGGCACTTGCCTCGGCGATCCTGGCCATGCTGTTTCGGACGCGCCAGGGAGAGGTGGCAGACGCATCCGGCTCCAGGCGCTCACCCCGGCGCGCGGCCCAGGCATTCACGGGTGGCCGCTCCGGTGAGCCGGCCATAGAAGGCTGCAGAGGAGGGCCGAAGCGTTCACCACCACCGGGGGGATAGGCCGAGTAGCGCAGATGGTCCGGAGAGCGAGACAAGCGGCCCTTGAAGTAGACTCCACCACCGTTGTCATACTCCCGAGATCTGTAGTCGTGGTGGCCGCCGGGGCTGGTGCGGGGCCGAAAGTCGACGGGCCTCCGCTCGTCCTCGTCGTAGTTCCTGCCCATTGTGGCGGTATTGGGGAAATACGAGGAGGAAGGGGCGGCGGCGGCGGAGGAGGGCCTCGTCTCCCCATTGGGCAGGAGCGCCTGCCGATGGTTGCCATAACCCTTGCTCATTGGATTGCTGGCGGACGACCATACATTCGCGGAGCTCGGCCGCTCGTACGCGCTCCGATCCACCGTCCTGGAAATCCATGGGGCCAGTCAGCAGCTCCTCTAACGACACGGACCAGATCGACTTACATGCCAGGCGCCGACGGGAGTTGCAGATCCGATGGAATGGAGCCCCCGTGGAAGACCTTGAGGGACATGGTGGAGCGGGGCATCGCCTTCTTCTTCGACATCGCTGCCAGCTCCCGAGAACTAGAGCCCTAATCTGCCCCCTTTTCCCCGCGAATATTCCGCCCGGGACACGTGGCGGGCGCCGTATGGCCGTTTGGCCCTTCACGCCGAGCGGACACATCCAATTCTAGGGCAAGCCCGATGTGGGCACTGTGGCCGCTGCCTGCGCAGCTGGGAGGCTGATGCGCCACATGAGTTTCTTCGTCGCGCGGCGGGGGCATGGACCTGGTTCGCAGTAGTAGATCGCGCAGCACGAGTGGAGGCTGGGCTGAGGATGCAAATGCGTGCGCTCGGCCATGGCGGGTAGCAACAGGCGGCGGAAGCGGAGCCAAGCGTGGTTGGAGCTCGGGGGCTGGGCGACGCCAAGGCAGCACGCAACCAGGTTCAAGGTAAATGGTTGTGGGAGGCGCGTGCCAAGGCCCGCCATCCCAGTATTTGGCGGAGAAGCTATTGCCAGTGGCACGCAAAGGAAGAGGAGGAGGAGAGAGGTGCCCAGCTCCAGCTCCAGCTCCAGCTCCAGGGTGACGGCAGGCCACCTCGAGACGTGCGCCTTGCACGGCGAGGAGGGTGACGACACGGACATGCTTCATACGGTGCTGCCCATGGCCACGACGGAGCGGAGCAAGAGGCAGTGGCAGCGGGCTCTAGACTGTGCCGGTAATGGAATCAGACCCAAGCAGGCTGGCGGCGAGGCTAGCAGCTCGGGCAAGCTGTTGACGGAGAGAAAGCAAGGCAAGGTGTCGTCGTCCAGCAAGAGCGGTGCCGGCGTTCCCAAGCCAACCAGAGCCAAGGCCAGCTCGCAGACCTCCTCCAAGGCGCCCATTCCTACCGTGGTGCTGGACGACGCCGAGTTTGGTGCCGAGGAGGTGGACGACTTGCCTTTCTTGGACGCGGTCGTCAAGGTGTTTTGTATCCATACGGAGCCAAACTTTTCGCTTCCCTGGCAACGAAAGCGGCAGTTCAGCACCAACAGCAGTGGCTTCATAATCGGTGGCAACCGAGTTCTCACCAATGCACACTCCGTCGAGCACCACACGCAGGTGAAGGTGAAGAGGCGGGGCTCGGATATCAAGTTTGTTGCGGCTGTCCTTGCCATTGGAACCGAATGCGACATAGGTGAGCACTCGTCAGCTCAAAAGGTTCAGTCCTAGGCGCTACTTGCTTCTTCGACCACCGAGGATAACGGAAGCCAGCAAAAGAGTCGTTTTTCCGCCAGGAACAACAAAACAAACGCTTTCTGCTTTGCAGCCATGTTAACCATCAACGATGACTCGTTTTGGAGGGGAGTGACTCCAGTGGAGTTTGGCGCTTTGCCCAGGTTGCAGGACCCCATCACTGTTGTCGGTTATCCCATCGGCGGCGACACAATCTCGGTCACCAGTGGTGTTGTATCGCGCATTGAGATCACGTCCTACGTCCATGGCGCTAGCGAACTGCTGGGCGTGCAAGTGAGCGACCCGATCCCTGTAATATTTGGTACGTGCTCTCATGCTTTGGTACGTACAGATAGATGCAGCCATCAACGCTGGAAACTCGGGTGGTCCGTCCTTCAACGACAGGGGACAGTGCATTGGGATTGCGTTCCAGTCTCTCAAGCACGAAGACTGCGAGAACATTGGATATGTCATCCCGACGCCTGTCATTAGTCATTTTATTATGGACTACGAACGCCACGGGCATTACACAGGTATCTCTCCTCGTCAAGGCTTCTGCTTTGCTAGCATATAACTTCTGCTCTGCCTCTGAAGGTTTTCCCGTGTTGGGTATTGAATGGCAAAGGATGGAAAATCCGGATCTTCGGAGAGCGGTCGGAATGAAGGCAAACCAAAAGGGTGTTCGTATACGCCGAGTGGAACCAACGGCTCCGGCAGCCAGACACCTACGCTCGTCGGATATTCTCTTGAGTTTTGATGGAGTCGACATTGCCAACGATGGAACTGGTACGTACCTCTATACTTTTCTGTTTTTTCTTCTTTCTCCGACTGAAGACAGTTTTTTACAGTTCCTTTCAGAAGTGGAGAGCGGATTGGTTTTACATACCTGGTCTCGCAAAAGTATACTGGGCAACGTGCTCGGGTGAGAGTTCTTCGCAGTGGACAGATAATTGAAAACGCTGTCGAGGTAACGATTCCAAAACGCCTGGTCCCTGCACACAACAAAGGAAGGCCCCCATCCTACTACATTGTTGCGGGGATTGTTTTTGCCGCTGTCTCGGTTCCCTATCTACGGTCAGAGGTAAGAAGGACCTGCGTAGTACTTGATTTCCGAGACAGCCTTTTTCTTCCCATTGAAGACACTGAGTGGAAGCAGCTGTGTTGGCAGTATGGCAAGGACTATGACTACGATGCTCCGGTGAAGTTACTGGATAAGCTCATGCACAACTTTGCACAGACTGAAGACGAGCAGCTAGTTGTCATATCTCAGGTGAGAAGCGGGGAAGCCGAATTGAGTTGACAGGGATGAGTTTCCAGGTCCTTGCAGCGGATGCGAACATTGGGTACGAAGACATTGTCAACACGCAGGTACGCCGAAGCTGCCAGTGCCGGTAGCGTGTAGAAGGAGGCGCCTAACACTGTTGCGCGGCAGATAATAGCGTTCAATGGCACGGCGGTGCGGAACTTGAAGCACTTGGCTCATATGGTGGACAACTGCAACGACGGCTTCATGCGCTTCGACCTCGAGTACCAACAGGTGATGTTGCGAGCTCAAGCCATGACATGACACAGTGTTGGTGTTGCAGATGATTGTGCTGGATGCTCAGGTTGCCAAGAGTGCAACACCGGAGATACTCAGCATGCATTGCATCCCATCGGGAATGTCCGATGACTTGAGGACGTGAGGTAGGGAGGTTTTGGGTTGTTTTGGCTTGGTGAGCAAAGTGTGCTCTATATATACTTTTCACATGTTTATAATTTAAGCCTGGGCATATTCCCTTTTCCCATGTCCATGGGTCGGCTCGGCCACTTAGCCGCGATGCGGAGGTGGAGATTGGGTCTAGGCGTGGGGCGAGGGCGAGATCGGGTGCGCGCGTGGATGGATAGGTAATGTCGCTATGTCCGGCGAGGCGGGGAGCAGGGCCGCAATGGTAATGGTAGGAGGCGGCGCAGGAGAGAGCTATCCCGAGTGGAGTGACTACTACCTGGCCCTCTACTTTGCGCTGGCCTTCCCGCTGGGACGCTGGCTTTTGGATGCCTTGGTTTACCAGGTGCGTGCGTGCGTGCGCGCGTGTAGATCTGATCTCATATATCTGCCTGCCTTGATCCATGATCTCCACCGCAGAGGCTGGCGGCGTGCTTCATTTACCCGAGGAAGGTGAAGGACCGGAAGAAAAAGCTGCTCAAGGCCACCGAGTCCATGTGGAAGCTAACATACTACACGGCGTCGGAGGCATTTGCGCTGTATGCGACGGCGAGGGAGCCGTGGTTTGCCAGCAGCCACGGCTACTGGGAGCGATGGCCCGGCCACACCATGAAGTGAGTGCCCAGCCAATCTTCTTTTCGTTTCTTTTGGATGAAAATCCATCCATCGTCCCCGTTTTGCCGCAGGCACGAGCTCAAGCTCCTCTACACGTTCCAAGGTGGCTTCTATGTGTACAGCGTTGCCGCGCTCCTCGTGTGGGAGACGCGGAGGAAGGACTTCAGCGTTATGATGACGCACCATGTCATTACCATCGTCTTGATCGCCGGCTCCTTCATCACCGGGTACGTGCATGATAGGTCTCTCACAATGTATGTAATCTATGGTGTCATCTTCCAGCTGCTTCCGGGCGGGCTCGCTGGTGCTGGCCCTTCACGATGCCAGCGACGTGCTGCTCGAGTCCGCCAAGCTGCTCAAGTACTCGGGCAGCGATGTCGGGGCCAGCATTGCGTTTGCCTTGTTTGCGCTCTCGTGGCTCCTCCTCAGACTCATCTACTTCCCGTTTTGGATAATCTGGAGCACCAGGTACGCACGCTCCCTGCGGTTGCCATTCCTGACTCGCACTCTCGCAGCTACCACTGCATGGAGTTCCTCGACTTCCGGAACGTCAAGACGGTCAAGATCTACTATGTCTTCAACACCATGCTCATGTCGCTGCTGGTGCTCCACGTCTACTGGTGGGTGCTCATCTGCCGGATGGTGTTGAGGCAGCTCCAGAACAACGGCACCGTGGGGGACGATGTAAGATCAGGTAGGTAATCAAACCCCTCTCTCCTCTCCTCTTTCAGGTCCGTTTACACATTGGGTTCCACAGATTCCGAAGACGATTGAGGAGCGATCCAATCCAGCTCTCAAGATTGTGTGCCCCCCTCTCAATATCAAACACTGATATTGGTTTTTGATCGGCTAGAGATGATGATACTCACTCTCTGTACATATCATGCATGGCTTTTTTAATGACTTTGCGAGGATCACTCAAACACAACACATATAGGTGTGTAGGGCAAGGACCGCGGAGAGAGATGTCATGTCGGACCGCCACCGCCCCCTCCCCAAGTCGGCCTACCGGACGGCTCTCACGCAGCAGCTCCTCCGCAAGCTGCACAAGGTAACTCAAGTCTCACTGCCAGCAGGAGCTCCTCACTCTCTATCCAGGCGATCAGCTTGCCGTCCCAGCGCGGAGATTGTCTCAGGCAGCTCTTCACTGATGTAGCTCTCGAAGTGGACGATCGTGCAAAAGGTAGTGAGTTCGCGCTTCTAGTTTACGCAGCCAGGCTCTTGGATTCTTTTGGATTGGACAGAACTCTTGTATGGACAAGATGCTGAGCACCTGTTCGTGGGCAGGAAGTGCTTTTATGAAGTCCTCGCGGAGCACTACGCGCAGATCCCCGAGGATGCCAAGCCCCTCCTTCCCTTGTTTGTACAGCTGTGGACCCAGTCGTTCGCATCGCAAATCTTTGCGCTCGTCTTCTATCAATGGGTATGAATTTTGCGCCTCGACAGATTGCTGATGATTGTGACTCTCCTGCTCAAAGCTATTCGAGATTCCAACGGATGCCTCGGATGGTTTGCTCCGCTACACCACCGCATTCATCGAGGGTGCCAGCAACATCTTCTGGTACGTTTTGCGTTGTTTTGCACACGTTCTCTCTCATGCCCTGCATGGCAGGATTGATCTATTGGGCAACGTGACACGATTTCATTCTCTCTATCACGTAACCAGATTTCTTTGTATAAGTGCCAGATCTCTCTTGGTTTTTTTTTTTTTTTCCTTCCTGCCTTTTGCAGTACACAATGGAGGCAGCTCTGTCGTCCGACCAACTCAATAAGTTTCCCCTACAAGTAAGCAAGCATGGCTGGCGTGAATTCAGTGCTTATTAGTTTGCCTGCATTCACTTAGAGTCGAAGGGAGCTCGCGTTACTTTTGGCAAGGTTTTTCTTCTTCTACGAGCCAGGTGGATTTGTTTCGCTCTCACTCCATGCACCTAGTAACGTGTGTGTAAGTTGCAGCCGATGGGCTGGATGATTTTTTAAGCAGGTTTCCTCTTGTGCCTGGGTACAATGGAGCGGCGGCCGACGTGTTTGTCATAGAGCTGACCGACCAGGTATTCTCATCTTTCCATGCTTACTGGAGCTGTATGCTACGCTTTCGTTTTTCCTCAGCTGCAGAAGGTGAAGGTTGAACCGGTGCTACTTCACTACCTGTGGAGCGCAAAGGCACTCAAAGGTGTGTGGACCCGTGCTGCTTTCTCCTTGTCCTCACAATGTCGCCGCGTCTGATAGGGAAGGAGCTTAGAGTGACAACAAGTACACGTCTGAAAACAGCGCTCTTCAGTTTTACCTCACCCGGTGGGCCGATGTATCCCACAAGACCCGTGAGGCACGCTGCCTGGGATACACTAGACTGCCTGTTCCCGGTGAGTGGCTTGGAGGTTTTGCACGAGCAACGCGAGTTTCTGATAGGCTGGAGGGTATACAGGTGGGCAGGCAGCCGAGGCTTGTCATCAGTTTGCTCTTTCGCTTGCTCCATCCATACTACTGGCCGGGCTCGTTTTGGAATTTCATCGTCACTGTGATCACATATATAGTCACGTTGATCACCGATACGATCTGTGACGCGATTGAAGGCATGCTCGCGGTATTTCTGCGCATCTGGTATAGAATAGTGCCAGGCGGTATTGACAATAACGATGATCACGAAACATAGGTAATGCAAGCTTTTAGTGATTGGTGTGGATAACGCCCAGTAAGTTGGCTATGGCGGACAAGTCACGCTGTCGCCTCGCTCGCCTTTCTTCTCATCTGGTACCACCCTTGACCGAGGATTCAAGTTGCAGGCTGGAAGCTGTGGTTTGCAGACGAAGCCAAAGTAGCTATGAACGCCGTCACGGGGATATCTCTTGCGAGAGGGTAGTGTGGCTCAAGTCCTGGGTAGGCGACGGCCCAGAGCTAGAGGAGGTGCTATACCACAAGGCTCTTGGAGAAGGAATAGCAAAAGTAAGCTTGGGAGTGGCTTGGGAGTACTAGTTGTGCTCATCCTTTCTTCAACTGTATGCTCAGATCACCATCAACAGAGCGCACAAGAGGAATGCCTTCACTCCTCGAACAGTTACCGAGATGCAGCGTGCATTGTCTGCCGCTCGAGACGACAAGGACGTGGGAGTGGTGATACTAACAGGCCAGGTAGTAGCTTTCGCCTTATATTTAGCTCTACGTATGTCTCTTGCAGGGGACCGATGCATTCTGCAGTGGAGGTGATCAATCAGTGCGTGGAAAGCATGGCTATGTCGGTCAAGACAACAATGCGCGTCTCAACGTTTTGGACTTGCAGGCAAGCAACAAGCTCTTACATCTCCAGTTGAGAGTCATGACCTGTGTCACAGATGCAAATTCGGAGGCTCCCTAAGCCCGTCGTCGCAATGGTGAGCAGTCGATTTCGTTGCTTTGCTTTGGATGGAAGCACCCTTCATCATCTCTAGAGCAGGTTGCTGGCTACGCCGTTGGTGGAGGTCACGTCCTCCACATGGTGTGCGACATAACTATCGCTGCGGACAATGCCATGTTTGGGCAGACTGGGCCTAAGGTGGGCAGTTTTGACGCTGGCTATGGCTGTAGCATCATGGCCCGGTTGGTAAGTCTGTGCGTGCATGCCAGTGGTGCTACAATTGCTACTTTGCAGGTTGGGCAGAAGCGAGCGAGAGAGATGTGGTTCCTGGCGAGATTTTACGATGCGCAGCAAGCCCTGGAGATGGGCCTTGTCAACGCGGTGGTGCCTGTAAGTCGGTCGAGCAATCGCCGCGGTCATGCTATATACATTTTCTTTTTTAAAAGGTTGCGGAGCTGGAGCTGGAGACAATCAAGTGGTGCCGTCAAATGCTCAAGAATAGCCCCACTGCCATCCGGGTTCTCAAGTCTGCGCTCAACGCCGTGGAAGACGGGCATGCGGGCCTTCAGGTGTGATTTTCCGCGATTTTCTTGGTTGCTGGATCACTCGACTGCATGCGTGATGCATGTGCAGGAGCTGGCTGGAAACGCGACGCTTCTGTTCTACGGCTCTGAAGAGGGCGAGGAAGGGAGGAAGTCTTATCTGGAGGGCAGGCAGCCCAATTTTTCCAAGGTTCCCAGGTTACCATGAACGAAATATTTTCTTGTTATTCAACGAGAATGGAGAGGTGCTAGCTACATGCGAACTGTACCATACTCAAGGGAATTCCCCTCGATGGTCACGGTGGACGTGTAGTTGGTGCTTCTGTCGCAAAACACCTCCCACAGTGCCGAGCCAAATGCTGAATCGTCCAGGGGCTGCAACACAGCTTCCACCGCCATCTCCTCTTCCAATGTCGTCGCGTCACCGTGCCCAAGGAGCGACCAGCTCGCGAGTTTGGCCACGGGCTCTTTCATAGAAGCGGTGTGGCGTATCGTGTAGTCGAGGTGAGGTATGGCGTTGAGCTTGATGGGGACGAGTTTGAGTTGCAGCTGCATCCTGGCAACGGGGACGCCAGAAGCATCGTGCTCAAACACCACCTCCTTCACCTGGGCTGCTGCGGGAGCCAGCACTGGGAAAGAGACGGATTTGTCCTGAGAGATCTTGTACTCGCCGTGAGAGGAATCCTTGAACCAAAAGTCCATCCTAAGCTTCAGGCTCAGCATGTTGCCTGGAGCTGGAAGAGAAGCCCCTTTCATTTCCTCCTTCCCGACCGTCAGGCCGATCTCGATTCGCTTCTGGCTCTTGGGATTGATGGTCTGGAGTGCGCGCACCACCTTATCAGCCACCTTGACCTTGCTCTCCTCCTCCAGAGCGAATTCCGCTCTTTCAAGCTCCACTGGGATGGTGTTGCCGTTGGAGACTCGCAGAATGATGCTGAATTTGACTTCCTCGGGAGAAAGGGACGAAATGTGCACCCCGTTGACGTACCCGGAAGCCCGTCCACCTTCTGGTTGCAGCACCTTGAAAAAGTCCTTCACCTTACCCACACTCACCGTGAAAAAATCGCTGATGCTGTTCGGCCTAAAATTGAGTTGAGCCTTCATTGTGTGCGATGCAACGTGACTGACATCTGCCTGCTTCAACTCCACTGGCACCATCATCAGCGTCGAGGAGCACGCTTGAATTGTACTGGGATACTGGACCAGCTTCACAAGCGCAACTTCACTGTCGTCTTCCTTCTCAAACGCAAACTCAACTTCCACCAGCTTAAGTTCCACCGGGTGAGGATTCAAGATCGCAAAGAGGACATCTACTACCGCCCTGTTGGCTGTTGACGATTGCAAGCTCATTCCCATCATATCCACCCGGGGAGCAAACTTGGCCACCTTACTGCCGCCTCCCTCCATGGCTTGTCTTCTCACGTCTTATGAAAGAGCTAACTTTTATAGACCCATAAATCGGATCCAACGGGGTATCCCTTGCAGCAAAGGCAGCTCGCGGATCAAACGCATCGGTTGATTGCCTTTCCATCTTCATTGATGCCTGCTTTGCTTCAACTTCAATTGTTGATAGCTGTTGTAATTAAACAAAATGAGAAAGTTGTATAAAATATAAAATATAGACGCAAAGAAACTGACCCTCCAAATGTATATAACAATCTGTGCGATATTCCCTTTCGCAAGACAACAAGAAATGCCTGCTGAAAAACATGAATATGATCAATACCAGTGCAGCTCAAAGCATACCTTTTGGGGTCGGATGATGAATCTTCCTCATTCCACCAGCTTCTGTAAAGACGACAAAGCTTCTTGTGCAGTTGGCCGTTTGCCAGGATCAAGCTCTGTGCATGACTCATACAGACGTATCAAAGCATCTAGGCAATCTTTGTCGCCGCCAACGGCTGGCTCAAGGACAATCTCATCAAGCTTCCACGTTAACGAGGGCCTCTCTCCAGCCTGCCCCACAAAAGCATGAGAAAGAGACGACAATATCGTCACTACTACACTTACTTTGATGTGATTGTGAATTTCATTGTCCCCGATTCCCGCATAAGGAACGTTTAGTGTCAACAATTCTGAGATGAAACAGCCGAAAGACCACATATCTGCTTCCTGTAGACACACAGACATGAATGATGTCTGTTATGATTGTTTGGAAAGAGGAGGCTTACCAGCCCGTACTGCTGACGAGTATACATAGCACCCAGCACTTCTGGAGCAATCCATCGAGGAGTGCCTACGCAGACATCAGTAAGGGGTAGACCATGATGTGCCAAGTAACAGGTGTGGATAGACGAGGAACCCACAGGAACGGCACTATCAAAGTCACAAATCTTGACTACCGGTCTATTGTCAGGAGAATCCAAATCTACCAGTATGTTACTGCTTTTGATGTCACGGTGGATGATCCCCCTTGAGTGAAGCCAAACCAGACCTTGAGCTACACTTTCAGCAATATTTATTGCTAATCGGGGCGGTGTATAGAGGCAGCCATCTTTTGAGAAGCGAGTGATAACATTCTGCAAAAACAAATTAGTACGGCAAACCAGGAAATTTTGCAACCAGCAACTCACGTCTAGCGACCCGCCCTTGACATACTCCATAAATATAACCAGCTGAGGAGCGTCCAGCTTTTTGTTTGCGCCATTCGACGCAGCGGATTCAAAAGATAGCTGATGACCATAGAACGCGACAACATTGGGATGCTCTCCGATGCTACAGTGTATGCGCAACTCACTGAGCCACCCACCATCCGATGATTCTTTGACAACCGTAGAATCCAGCTGCCGGATCTGATAGAACAAGGACACGGTTTGTAGTGAGAAAAAAGAAAACAAAAAAAAAAAACGAAATCTCCATGCACGTTTTACCTTTGCAGCAGCCGTATGACCTCCAACGCTGCATTTCCTAACCTCTGCACCGGAGGCACCAAAACCAATCTCCTCGTAAAACAGAGGCAAAAACGTCCCGCTGCCTAGCTCCACCACCCTAGGCTGCACATGTATCCGCCGGGTTGGAATGTACCTAGAGAGGAAATAAAAACTTTGTTTAAACAAAACGAAAATGGAAAACCTCGAAACGAACCGGCAGAAATACTCTGGATCGCTTTCAAGCCTGATATCAAGAGGACGACACGCGTCGACAAGCATCCTGACGTTAACACCACCCCTACAAACAAGAACAACGTTCCAAGCATGCGGCATATAATCCAAATATCCCCGCACTAGCTCACAAGGAATAACGGGACTCGATCGATCGCAAAGATACTGCAAAACAAGACGTGAATAAAGCACACAATGCTTAGAACATACCTTCATGAGTATTGCCCGGTGCCGACAAACGCCATAAGGCAATGATCCCAAAGGTACTACGTTGGAGTTCCTCTTAAGCTTAACATGTCTTATTGCTTCGTCACTGAGTGTACGCATGCTTGGAAGCGCACCGGAAAAAGAGGCACCACTGTCGCTTGGCCCTGTTGCGCAGCACGAACATACGAAGGGCATACTTGACGTAGAACCAAGTGCAGTGCGCCGCATGATTTTAACATTCAACGTCTTGTCGCTCCCACCCAAACAATCTGACACGAACAAGGCCAGCATTGCAACGTTGTACAAGTCACTCGAACCATGCTCAAATGTTGCCCCGCCAGGTCCAAGACTAACAAGCAGTTGTTTAGCGGATGAAGCCATCGCGTCCAAATCCTCGTCTTTGGTTCTGCAGGTACCAGCTTGTAATTTGCAGCTTTAGAACGTGTGCCTACCTGTCGACCAGTATAACCTCGCGCCTGTTGAAACTGAACTGCTCATTTTCCAAGGCTTCCAGCGGAAGAAAAGGATGGTCCCTGCCCGCGTCGTAAAAACCATCCACAAGATGGTCATCGAAACCACAGAAAGAATCTTTGCTGTACTTGTATGACACCTCAGAGAACTTCTCAGCTGCCTTCCGACGCTTGCTAGGCTTTGGATTACCTTCAACAGGACAATGCCCAAGCCTCTTGTGAGTCGAACCTGCATGAGTGCCAGCCTTCTCTGTCACTGTTAGTTGCTTGCTTTGTAGCGGCAAATCTGTACTTTCCCCAAGCTCGTTTGCGCTTCCTCTCTTGTCAACAGTCCGGTAGTTTCCAGAATCCAGGAGCACCATCTCCTCAGGTATCGCAGACCCCAATGTCTTGCACCGCCTGCTTTCAACTCCCAGCTTTGACCGATTGCCGGAGTTCCTAGATCCTGTTCCATCCATCAAGTTACGTTCCTTTCAAAAATAAAGTAGACAGTAAATTACCTTTAGCCTTTTTTCTCTCCGAATAAAATTGCAGCCACTCGTTACCCTCAAAGTTGCACCTGAGCCATGTTGGAATCTCTCCAGTCGCTTGCAACTTATTAAACTGCACAAGAGGAGAAGAGATAGATGAGAAACGAACCAAAGTAGGAAGCTTGAAGTACCGCTAAAGCCTACTTGAGCATTTAGTTCTTGCAAGGAAGTCATAGCTTGCAGATCCAGTGTGAGGAGCGAAGTTAGTCTATTATGGCCAACATCAAGGGTGGCCAGTGAAAGCATTGTACTAATAGACGAAGGAAGCTCCCCCAGCTTGTTGTTTGAGAGCTTGAGCGATTTAAGTGATGTCAATCCGGATATTTCCTTGGGTAAGAGCTTGAGCTTGTTAAACGACAAGTCCAGCTCCTGGAGGCTGTGAAGAGATCCAATTTCTGGTGGTAGATACCTGAAAAGCGAGCGTTTGGATGTGAAACAGAGAAGGAGGAGTGACTTACGAGATTGAGAAGTGACAGACCGAAAGCCGTCGGAGCTCCTGGAGGTTGGCAATTTCGGCTGGTAGAAAGGACGCAGAGGGGCGGAGCGGAAGCTGGTGGAGCTCGAGCGTCTTGAGAGCGGGCATTTTCCCAAGCGGCAAAAGGCTGGACAGTCCCAGTGGAGATGCCCTCACCTGGAGCTGCTCCAACTGGGGGAAGCAGTTGTCGTCAAGGTCGGGGAAGTAGCGCGCGGCGTTGGAGAAGACCTTGAGGACCCGGAGGCTCGTGAATTGCAGAAGAGAGCGTGGCAAAAGGGTGAAAACGTTGTCAAACACGTACATTTGCTTGGCCCGCTGGGACTTTGCAGCTGGGACGCACGCCAGCGACGAGGCGCAGCAGCCTGAGGGAGAGACATCGATCACATCGTCACCCTCCTCCCCCTCCTCCTCCTCCTCCGCCTTGCTGGCACTGCCCGCGCCCTGGCCCGGCGCCCCGTGCCCCTCCGCTCCCTCGCTATGGCCCTCCCCCGACGCCATACGCCGCCTAGGACTCGCACACTCCTCTAAAACCCTAACGAGTAGAGCTCTTTTGAGCTCATCTTAGTATTAGGTCAGAGGAGTGGCCATGGCGGACGACGCCCTCGATCTGGAGCACATGCTCCTGGCCGCTGCTGGTCGCAAGAGCGGCAGCAACACGAACGCTAGCAGCGGCGCCGCCAGCAAGAGAGATGGTAAGAGAAGCTCCAGGAGAGGCTCCAGCTCCAGCTCTGACGAGGACGAGGAGGAGGATGAAGACGACTACGACAAAAAGGGCAAGGGCGGCTCCAAGATGCCACTCAAGAAGAGGTTTGATGGCGGGGACAGGGACGAGGGCTCCGGGAGCGACCTGTCGTTTGGGAGTGATCTGTACAAGGACGACGAGGACAAGCGGAAGCTGGAGGCGATGACGGAGCTGGAGAGGGAGATGATCCTGCACGAGAGGTCGGAGAAGCGAGACAACTACAGCCTCAAGAAGTCGACCGAGGCGCGCATTGCAGAGGAGGAGCGGAAGAGGGACGGGCCACCCTCGTCCCGGATGAGGTCCTCGGGCAGGGAAACCACCAAAACCTCCAAGACCAACGCTCTGAGCGAGCTGGTGGCCAAGAGGCAGAGGTCGCAGGACGCGAGCCAGCTACAGCAGCAGCATCAGCACCAGCACCAGCACCAGCACCAGCAGAGGAAGAGACGGGAGCATGTTGCAGGTGGTGCGGCTGCTCCGCCGCCCCGCCGCAGCGCCAGCCCGAGCTCCAACTCTGATGCTGATTCCGAAGACGACGACGACGAGGAGAGCAGCCGAGGAGAATCCAACCGCAGCGACGTACCTTCGGAGGACGACGACGACGAGCGAGGGGGGCGAGTGAGCCTGCCCGACAACGAGGACATCAGGAAGATCACCATCCGGAGGTCCAAGCTGTCAAAGTGGTTCATGGAGCCGTTTTTCGAGGAGGTGATCGTGGGATGCTTCGTGCGCATTGGCATCGGCATGTCCAACAGCGGCACAAGCATGTACCGCCTGTGCCTCGTGAAGAATGTGGATGCTACGGAGCCGGACAAGCCCTACAAGTTTGAAAACCGCACCACGCACAAGTATCTCAACTGTACGTGGGGGGACGACTCCTCGGCGGCTCGCTGGCAGATGGTTCGAGCATCCGACCAGGCCCCTACAGACGACGAGATCGATGCATGGAAGGCGGAGGTGGCCAAGTCGGACTCTCCCGGCATCAGCAAGTCGGCGGTGAGGGACAAGGCCGAGGCCCTGGAGAAGATCGCCTCCTTCGTCTACTCGGCTGCAGCAGTGAAGCAGATGCTGCAGGAGAAGAAGATGGCATCGGCGAGGCCGTCCAACTTGGCGCTGGAAAAGGAAAGAGTGATGAAGGAGCTGAGCGTCGCTGAAGGCAAGGGAGACCAGGAGCAGATAGAGCGGCTGCACGAGAAGCTCAAGGAGCTCGAGTCTCTGGCGTCCAAGCAGCAAACCAAGAATGAAAAGGCGGAACGTATCGAGATGATGAACCGGAGGAACAGGTTTGAAAACTTTAAAAACGCGTCGGAACTCAAGCCAGCGGCCAAGATGGGCGAAGCGGGCTACGATCCCTTCTCCCGGAGGTGGACAAGGTCACAAAACTACTACAAGTCGGACGCTCCAAAGACCGCAGCGGAGGAGCACAGCGAAGCCATCGGGGGTGATAAGGCGGGTAAAGACGGGGCGGGCTTTTTGCAGGAGCTGACCAAGGCTGGCAATGGCCGCCTGATGGGGCGCCAGTTCTCCAAGATGTTTAGCCTGCACGACTTCGACTTGCCCATATCGTTGGCCGCACTGGAGCGCTTCAAAGGCGGGCAGGGAGCAGCCATGGCCTTCATGGAGCGGAAGCGGAAGATGGAAGCTCACTACGGTGTGCGCGTCGACGACGACGACGGCCGGCGCCACAGCCTCACGCTCACAGTCAACGACTACAAGCGCCGCCGGGGGCTGCTCTAAGCAAAAGCAAGGTGGTGTGTATTTGTATTGCTTTGTGGTTAAAAAGGATCCGTGGCCTCGACAACTTCCACCACATGCCTCTCGAACTCGAGCGGGGTGAAGGCCTCGCGGCTGACGCCCGCCACAAACTCGAGAATGCGGATGATGCTGTGTAGCGGCTTGATGATGTAGAGCGTGTTGGCCTCAAAGTCGACGCCGAAGGACCTCATGGCGGGAAGGAATCTGGCAAAGGTGCGCTCCGAGGGATTCCTGATCCGCAGTGCCGCACGGCCGATCATGTCATGGGGGATGGCCTTGGCACCCACCAGGATCATGGAGGGCTCGCCCTGGAGCAGCAGCGAGAAGCAGTAGCTGGGGCCGCGGATATAGTAGCCCGATCCCCTCTCCTCCTTGACCTTGAGCTCCGCGGCTGGGATGGCCTTGCCCAGCGCGCACTTGATGATGCTGCTCACCATGGAGCCCGTCACCATCCTCAGGCTAAACGTCTCCTGGCGCACCGGCTTCACCAGCATGCCAGCCTTTGTGGCCGCCTCGAAGCTTACCTCCGCCGAGTAGCGGAACAAGGTGTGGCAGCATCGAGCAGCATTGCTGCCCAGGTCCATGATCCGCCACTCCACGTCCTTCATCTTGGCCGACGCTACTCCTCCGCTCGCTGCCGCCACCTTTCTCCTGCGGAAGCGGCAGCCCGACTCCCGGACGAGGGTGATGTACGGCTTGAGAGGCTCCAGCGGCTCGGCCTCCTTGAGACAGCACACGGGATGTCCCAACATTGTGTAGAGGCCCTCGGGCAGAAAGGATGGCCGCCTGTACGAGATGGCTGCCGTGTGGAGGAGCATGCAGAAGGAGGAGGAGATGGGCGAGCGGGACAGGCTCTCGCACAGCACTCGCAGGCTCCCAAGCTCCGCGCACCGCGCCTTGGAGCACAGCCTGAGGAGGGCCTTACGATCCTCCTCCTTGTCCAGCGCGTACCGGAGGTAATGCGGACTGCTGTAGTCGCGGATGGCTCCGCTCAAGCTGCTCAGCACCATCTTGTCCGCCGCCTCGTACACTGCCCACAGATGCTCCACATCGATGTGGCAGCAGCGCGTATACAGCCATTCCAGAATGGCGTGCAGGACAGGGGCTGTCCACTCGAGCTTCTCTATGACTATATACCGCTGCACCTCCACCTCCTCCTCTGGCGCCGCCGCCGCGACGCCAGGCCTACGCTCTGCCGCTTCCTCTCCGTGCGCTGCTTCCTCCTCCTCGTCGCCTTTGTGGAGCTCAATCACGTTGGTCATGACGCCCTCCAGCATGCCGGTGATTGCCTGCCTCACTTTCGCCTCCTCCTCCACATTCCTCATCACACTCTGCACCATGTCCGCTACAAGCGCCTTGCGCCGCCGCTCCTCCGCCATGCGCACGTCGTAGTCGATGAACCATTCCCGGAAGTAGTCACACTCCTTCTTGAGCACGCTCGAGTGCGCCAGTACTCGCACCACATCGCGGCAAGAGCTGTGGGCAGCTCTCCTGGCAACCAGCAGCACGTCCGGTGCTGTCTTGTCCGCGGCCACGGGTGCCAAGGAGATGCCCAGCGACGCCAATCGCTCCTTGATTACGTTGCTCGCAAGCTCCATGACAATTCGATCTACACGCTTAAACCTCTCGCTTTGTTGCCAGTCGGTTACCACGCCTCCTCTTTTTGCCACGTGGACAAGCCCTAAATGCTACCATGCCTCCCTTCCAGCGCCTCTCGCTGCTCCTCGTGCTCGCCCTCGTCCTCGTCTCGCTGCTCCCGCCCGCCCTCCACTCGCTTCTCAAGCTCTCTTCATTCCTCGCCACCTTCTCCCTCGTCGCCATCATCCCGCTCGTGCTCCTCCTCACCTGAAACCGTTCAAGACTGTTTTCCACTCACAAATCATCACTTCGTTCACGAGAATTTATCCATCAGTTGTAGAGATCATCGTCTTCTGCAGCAGCAGTGGCAAAAGCAGAGTCGCCGCCTGCAGCTGCTGGACGGTCTGGGAAACGAAACTCGGATCCAAATCCCCGAGACTGCTGCAGAGTCTGGGCAAAGGCCTGGTACTTCCGGATGTCAGCGTCGCTCACACTTCTCCGCGCGAACTTCATAGCCTCCTCAAAGTGAGCGGGCCTGATCTCCGCTATTTCATCAACTTCGTCCTCGTCCATAGCCTCTGGGTTGTCTGCTCTCCTCCTCTCCTTCTCAATGTCCTGGAAAGGCTTCTCGTTCAAACACAGAAAACCAAACTCCATGAACAGGGAACGTACCTTTTCTATGTTCTCCCTGATGGCATACTTGCAAGCACGCTGGCAGATTTCGGTGATGTCAGCTCCACTGAAACCTTGAGTATACCTCCCAAGAGCCTCGAGATCCACATCCTTAGACAGCGGCGACTTGCGAAGCGCGGCTTGGAAGATCCTCAGCCTGGATGCCTCGTCCGGAAGAGGAATGTAGATAAGTTGATCCAGTCGACCGGGACGAAGTAGAGCAGGATCAATAATGTCGGGTCTGTTTGTCGCACCAATAATGAACACCGTCTTCTTAGCGTTCATCCCATCCATTTCAGTCAGCAGCTGATTCAAAACTCTATCGGCTGCACCACCTGCGTCACCAACGCTGCTACCACGCTGCAGGAACCAACTTGCGTATTAGATAAAACCATAAAAAGACCGGAATGCGCTTACTTGTGTCGCAATGGAATCTAGCTCGTCGAAGAAGAGCACGCAAGGAGCTGATTGCCTAGCTTTGTCAAACACGTCGCGAACATTGGCCTCGCTCTCCCCAAACCACATGGTTAGCAGCTCTGGACCCTTGACACTAATGAAGTTTGCCTGACATTCGTTTGCGATTGCTTTCGCAAGCAAGGTCTTTCCACATCCAGGAGGCCCATAGAACAAGACTCCCTTGGACGGCGACATCCCAAACTTCTCAAACTTCTCCGGATGCTCAACTGGATATTGCACAGTCTGCACAAATTCCGGCATAAGAAATCAGCCGCATCCAGCTCATAACAAACACTCACCTCTTGAAGCTCCCTCTTGACGTTCTCAAGGCCACCAATGTCTTCCCAGGAAACGTTAGGCACTTCAACCACCTACAAGGAACACATTATTACTAGTGTCCTAGAATAATAGATGACACACGTACCGTCTCACGGAGTGCAGAAGGGTTGCTCGTTCCCAAAGCTGTCTGAAAGTGCTCGTTCGTTACAGCCATTGAGCTGAGTACTTCGGCATCTATAGTCTCGTCTTCAAGATCAATCACGTCCATCTTTTCACGGATGCACTGCAGGGCCGCCTCGGTGCATAGGGCAGCAAGGTCCGCGCCAACGAAGCCGTGCGTATTGTGAGAAATTTTCTCCAAATCCACCTGCAGAAGCAAATGCCAGTTGTAAGTTTATCAATACCAAACACGTTTCTTACGTCTTCCGCGAGCTTCATGTTCTTGGTATGGATGCGGAGAACTTCCAACCGGCCAACCTCGTCGGGAACACCGATATCTATCTCCCGATCAAAACGACCAAACCTCCTCAGAGCCGGATCGATGCTGTTAGGCCTGTTAGTTGCTCCCATGACAATAACGTGGGATCTGCTCTTCAAACCGTCCATCAGAGTCAGCAGCTGGGACACGATTCGGCGCTCTACTTCTCCTTGTGTTTTCTCCCTCTTAGGTGCAATCGAGTCTATCTCGTCAATGAATATGATCGATGGAGCGTTCTTCTCCGCCTCTTCAAACGCCTTGCGCAAGTTACTTTCGCTCTCCCCAGCCAGCTTCGACATGATCTCAGGACCATTGATGAGAAAGAAAAAGGCCCCCGTTTCATTTGCCACGGCCCTGGCAATCAAGGTCTTGCCAGACCCTGGAGGCCCGTAGAGCAGGATTCCCTTGGGAGGCTTGACACCAATCGACTTGAACAGCTGCGGGTGCCTGAGGGGAAGCTCCACCAACTCACGTATTTGGGCCATCTGCTTCCGCACCCCACCGACATCATCGTAACCAACTTCATCAAGCCTCTCCTCGTCCTCGCGCTTGATAGGATCGCCCTCGCAGAAGATTTCCGTGTCCGGTGCAACTATGCAATACTCGCCGGGATCCGTCTCTACAACCTTGAACTCCACACTCCTCATGCCACCGCGCACAAGGAAGAGATCAGCCTTGCGGACAGGCCGGTAAGCTTCCAAAAAGTATGCTGCACAGGCCAAGCTGTTAGTGAGGAGCTGTCACAAACGTGTACCAAAACTTACGCTTGAGGTACGCATCAAACAGATTCCCAGTGAGCCCCTCGATTGTATCGTCGACGGGAAGGATATGAACTCGCTTCCCATACTTGACATCCGCGCATTGATGCACAGAAACCACATCACCGAGCCTCACCCGCAAGTTTGTTCGGACCACCTTGTTCATACGGATTTTAGGCTCCTCGCAACTGTCGTCTGCCAGAACAATACAGACAGTGTCTTTGCGCTTCTTGCCCTGAAATTTTCGGAGATTTGTGCCCCGCCGTCAGGAAGGAGGGAGGCAAACAAAAGCCACATACCTTGATGAGCACGGTATCCCCCCTGAACAGCTGTAGCTTTTCCATGGTCTCTGGATGCAGAGCCACAACCGAGTTGTCATCGTTGGTTGCTTCGTCGACAACGAGCCTATTTGGGGCTTTCTTGCGCTCCAGGATGGCAGTGGAATAGTCTCGCTTCGAACCCTTCCTGCGGCCAGAAAGGCAAGGAGATCAAAACGATTCAAGTGAATAGAAGCACATACGGATCCGAAGACTCTGCCTTGCTCGAGCTTGAATCGGTCACCGCCATGGCTACCTACCCTTGAAATGACCCAAACCCTAGCACGCATACAGCACAGTCTCCTTTATACCCTGGGAATATTCCATGAAATGCTTCTAGAACAATCTGGTGCCAATGGGTATCGAACTCGCCACGACCGAGAGAGCGAGGGGAGGGAGAATTGGCGGCTGCGTGGGTGGGGGGGGCGGAGCCGCCACCACCGCCACGTTGTCAGATCCGCCCTAAAACATAAAACGTAAAGAGTTTACCTCTCGGAATGTAGGCAAAGCAGTGGAATTCATGGAAAAGTAAGCAGCTTAGGGCACTCGCATCCTCGCGCGGTCGCCGCCATGACGGCCATGACGGCCGTCCAGAAGCTGTACGAGGTGTGCAAGGCCTCCTTCTCGTGCGTCCAAGGCGTGCCAGCCCCCGAAGCTGTTGCACGGGTACGCGCTGTTCTGGGTAAGCTGCTCACACTGCTGCGCCTTGATTTTACTGCCTTGCCCCGCTCCCAGACGACATCAAGTGCTCCGATCTCGGCCTCCAAGAGGACAATTGCCAGAGAAATGGACGCTCCACCGACCAGCCACCAGAATCGGCCGCCCCGGCAATCACTTACTTGCATCTCTACGAGTGCAACAAGTTCTCTGTAAGTCGTTGAGAGATCTGTTGACGCGCTGTTGGTTGAGCAAGCTAAGCCGTGATGGTGGTAGCACAGATGGGAATCTTTTGCCTGCCGCAGTCGGCAGCCCTTCCTCTCCACAACCATCCGGGTATGACCGTGCTGAGCAAGCTGATCTATGGCTCCATGCACGTCAAGTCGTACGACTGGGTAGATCCCTCGGACCACACGGCCTCCTCCACACGTAAGGGCAATCTGCGATTTCCAAGCTTACATGTCATGTCCCCCCAGCCAGATTAGCGATGCCCGTCAAGGACCATGTACTGGTGGCGCCCTGTGACACCGCCGTCCTGTACCCGACGTCCGGGGGCAACATCCACTCCTTCACGGCGGTCACCTCCTGCGCGGTTCTGGACGTCCTTGCGCCGCCATACCACACCACTGCCGGCCGCCCTTGCGTCTACTACCGCCTGGCCGCCGCCACCTCCCCAGGTGGGTGTCTCCTCCATAAAAACACGTACGCCTTGCAACCAACCCCTGCAGTTACTTGCGTGCAGAAGCCACGGACAGCGCCGAGGCGCATCTCGTTCACCTCCAGGAGTTCAGACCTTCGAGCGAGTTTGTGGTTCACAGGGGGAACTACAGGGGGCCAAAGGTTGTTCCATCGATTTGAATATCAGCGCCTTGTGTGTAAAAAATGCCAAAGATTTTTGTTACCTAAGTAGAGCAATTTTTAGGTTGTGTGGAAGGGGGGAAAGGCGCGGCGCGGCGCGGCGCGGTCATGGATGTGGAGAACGTGGTAAGCCCTCTCGATTAGCCTAGGGCTCGAGCTGCGCTATTAACTCCTCGCTGCTGCAGAAGGTTGATGACAACGATGTCAAAAAAGTCCTGCTCGGCTACCTGGTCCACAATTGCTTCAAAGAAACAGCCGAGGCTTTCATAGCGTCCACGGAAATGAATTGCTCTGCTGACTTCTCCATGGACATCGACAGGAGAAAGCGTAAGGCATCCCCAGCCCCACATGCTCCTCTCGTACTCACGCTGGTGCCCGCGCAGCAATCTATAACCATGTTATGGGAGGGGAGCCACTCAAGGCTATTGATCTCACCAATGGAGTCGCTCCAGGCCTCTTACTAGACAACAAGGACTTGCACTTCGATCTCCTCACTCTCCACTTTATAGAGCTCGTGCGGTCTAGAAACGCGTAAGCTTCTTCTTTCGCTTCTCTCGTCCTTATTTTGTTTATCTACCTCCAGCATAGGTGCTCTGGAGTTTGCACAGCGAGAGCTAACGCCTTTTGGGAAGGAGAAGCACTACGTCGATAAACTCCAGGTAGCTTGAACCGTTTGTTCTTGTTAGGGGTTGAGCCCAGGGTGACAGGACTGCATGGCATTACTGGCATACTCGGAACCAGAGACGTCGCCCTTGTTCTCGCTGCTCAGTGTGGACTACAGGCAGAACATCGCAGACATGCTGAATCGGGCGCTCCTAGGCAAGCGGCTGCTTTCCCTGCCATCGCCCCTCACCCTCTTGTTGTCCCTTCTTTCAGACCATGGCAAGCTTCCCAGTTACACATCCATGGAGAGACTTCTCCAGCAGTTCACTCTCGTTTCTCAGCGGCTACAGCAGGAGCAAGGTGGAAAGGTAGGGCCTCATCCCATTCTCTGCCTTTCTCTCATGCGCTTCTTAGGACCTCCATGCGTCTTTTACGTTGAGGACCTTCTTGGCATAGTCATCTCGCCAAGTGGAGCTGCGTCGAGAAGAAAGCGTTTTGAAATACACAATATCTCGACGCAACAAAGTCCTGGTCCATATCTGCGCTGTATCAGGGCGTCAACTCCGAGAGTTGCATGGCCTCTTCCAACGGGAAGACCTTCCACTGTAAATGACTTGCCTTCTTCCACTCGCGTATCACATGAATGACGAGAAAGGTGGCGTGCAACGCTTGGAATGGACTTTCTGTGAGATCAAGTTCTTCGACTCTTGTTTCCAGCCGCTCAGACAGCAACAGGCTTGAAAGGCGTCTTGCTCAACTCGTGGACAGCCTTCCATCCATCCATGCGGGAAGATCCCGAAATAAGATTCTCCCACCATATCCGAGCGGCAACTCAAATGTATCAATCCCGTTGGACCAAAATCTTAGAGCCTTAATATTGAGCCCTAATCTCCCGCACTCTTACCCTAAAGTAGTCTGGCCATGGCGGATGTCATGGATCTGCCTCCGGAGCCACTCCCCAGGGACACCGCGGAGCGGCGCAAAGGGGGAGCTGCCGACGACGCAGGTGACAGCAAGAGGCGAGGTGAGGATGAGAGCAGGCAGGCAAGCCGTCACGACAAGCACAACAAGCGCCGCAAGAGCCTGTCCCCGCCTCCCTTGCCTCACCGGGATCGACGCCATTCGCCCTCCCGCAGGTCTCCTGCCGCCCACAAGCGCTCTCGACGGGATGACGACCGGGGAGGTTATGAGGGCGGAAGGTAACTCACTTGACCTTTTCTTTCCGCTCTTGCGCTACTCAGCTTGCCTCATTTCTCCAGGGATGGTATTCTTGGTAGAGGCTATGGTGGTGACTACGGCCGCCATCGTTCTAATGGTGGGCTCTCATACTCCCCTTTCCTTTCCACATGCTCAGTCACCTTTTGTTTTTCCAGAGTGGTCCGGGCGAAGCATGTATGGTGATGCCTACCCTCGCAGGTTTCTCCCTCGCCCAACTCTGCCGCTCCTTTTTTTCTAATCGTGCGCTGCGCGCAGGGACGGACTCTTGTCTTACAAGCAGTTTATCGTGGAGCTAGAGGACGACATTCTTCCCGCTGAAGCCGAGCGCAGGTCTTTGCCTCGCTTCCGTAGCAGCTTCTCACCTTTTAGCTGTGCAGGTATGAGGAATACAAAGCGGAATACGTCTCCACTCAGAAGCGAGCCTATTTCGAGCAGCACAAGGAGGAAGACTGGTACGAAGTCGCGTGACTTGTCAATTGTTATCCGTTTCACAAATTTCGTCGGGTCCAGGCTACGGGAGAAGTACGATCCGTCGCGGCTGGACTCCCTTATGGCTAGGTTCGGTATGATCTCAGGAATCTAGAGTTATTGTTGACGTGTGCGCTTGTGGTTGCAGGAGGATTGAAACTGCGAAGTCTAGTGCACGGGACTTTATTTTGGAGCTGCAGGCTGGAAGTTTGGACATGTGAGTCGGGTGAGGTGTTCCCGTTCGTATCTGACATTGCTTGGTGTAGGACGGCGGCTGCTGCTGCTGCTGCTGGTAGCAGATCCACCGCAGATGTTGAAACGGACGACGACAAGAGAATGGGGGGCCGTCAGGCGGATACTATCCCACGAGCACAACACGCTTCCTCGGATTTAAAGAGGGTGGCCATAGATATAGAACAGGCGCAGGCGCTGGTTAAAAAGCTGGACACTGAAAAGGGTGTAGAAGGAAACATCCTCTTTTCTTCTGAGCAACAGAACTTGAGCAGTGAAACCGGTGGTCCTATTGTTATAGTTCGAGGGGCTAACCAGGTGAAGGGTCTCGAAGGCATCGAACTGCTGGACGTAATGCTCACGTACCTGTGGAGAGTCCACGGTTTGGATTACTACGGAATGATGGAGCTACGTGAGCTGCCGAAAGGGTTTCGACACCTCAGAGGGGAGGAGAAGGCAGGCGATGACAATGCACGGGCTGAATGGGAAAAAAAGCTGGACTCTACATGGCAGGCACGATTGCAGGGCCAGGACCCCGTAGAAGCTATGCTTGGCAAGGACAAGTCGGAGGCGTCTATGTCAGAAGCGCTTGAACCCTACGTACGAAAAATAAGGGACGAAAAGTATGGATGGAAGTATGGGTGCTTGGCTACTGGGTGCTCGAAGCTTTTCCATGGACCAGAATTTGTACACAAGCATCTCAAGCTGAAGCATCCTGAGATTGTAAACGAGTCCATGGCCAAACTCCGAAGAGAGCTCTACTATCAAAACTACATGAGGTACGTCGTCCATGCTCGAGTTGCCGAGTTTAATGTCCAAACGTGTCCAAACAGTGATCCTAATGCTCCTGGCGTGGCCTCCGTGCAAGCGAACCAGGTAAGCCTCGCCTAGATGACGTCCGTAACCTGGTGGTATTTGTTTCAGAGGGACAGCAGGCTGCACAGGCGTAGGCCCGGTCTGTTGGGAAATTCGGATAGGAGTCGAGGCCGTGGCGAGGACGTGGATAAATCGCCGGCTGGAGATTATCCATATGAAGGGGCCGGACCAGCGTCATCGGAGCAGCCAATGTTTGATCCTTTTGGTGGGACCAACATTCACGGGGGAGCATTTGGTTCGGAAATACCTCCTCCAGTGTTGATGCCTGTGCCTGGCGCGGGGTGAGTGTTTCCTTGTTTTCGTGTGCACTCCTTCTCAAGCTTGTGTGGCCAGGCCCTTGGGTCCATTTGTCCCTGCTCCTCCTGACGTGACCATGCGCATGTGGAGAGAGCACGGCGGCGGCCCGCAGCCTTTTCATCCCGCTCCATTTGATCCTTCATTTGATGGTGGTGACCGTGGACGAAAGGGACGGGGTGTTTTGGAGACGCCGCAGATGGTTCCTCCAGTTAGGCACGACCCTCGTCACATGCGAAGGTTTCTCTTCTCATTCCGTAATTCTGTTGAACTAACCCTGCCGTGCAGCTATCACGATCTTGACGCGCCGGAAGACGATGTTACAGTGATTGATTATAGGAGCATATAGTGGAGGCCAGCCTTTTTCTCTTTTCTCTTTCAGAACTGTATTTTGTAATGCTTGCGGCGGGAACTTTGCATACACGAGTCTAACAATGGATAAAATTTGACTCTAGCTCAACTCTATGAAACAATCGAAAACACATTCTTGTCTGCTACCACCTGCAATCACTATCTGCATGTAAGAGACAAAAGGCCTGCTCCCTCTTGGACATTATTCACAGCGCGGTATCGGCAAAGTATCTAGCTTGACGTGCTGCAACCTGACTAATTTCCGCACTGATAAGTTTCGATTTGGGTGAGGAGAGGTGAAAGCCTGGTGCTCGAATGCGGAAGGAGTGCTGCAATGGCAGCATTTCAGCAGGCGAACTTGTAGCCAAGAAGGTACCTGCCGCAATGCACTTAGTTGCGCTTCGTACTCCTGCTGCTGGATCAGGAGCTCGTTCCTATCAAAAGTTAGCCTCGCCATTTGCTTGTGTGACTGCTTGACTTTCTGCAAACACCTGATGTCAGAGTTGCAAAATAGACCAACTCTGTCTCAAGGATTACCGCTTGCAGCTGATGTATCTTGCGGCGCAAAGAGGATATCCTCTGTTGAGAAGAGTTCTCTTGCGTCCGCCACGACGACTCGCAGCTTCTCTGCATGTAAGTTTTTTAAAAAGGCATCTCCGAGCCACAAGACGTACTTTCACTTGTTCCACGGTATTTACATGATCCAGTTCTCTGAATTTCGCAAGCTCTGCCATGTCTCCTCTCGCCGAATCTAGCTTTCTTTGGAGTTCATCTCGTTCAACTCTGCTCTAAAACGTTGAAATATTGGAACAAATCAAGTAAAACTCCACCTGTAGCTAGCTGCTTCGGCCTGTGAGTCGTTATTCTTACAGACGGCTTCTCCCAGCTTGGCTCGTGATTCCTCTAGCCTCGTGCTCACGTCCAGAAGCTCCTCTTGCACTTTGCCAAAGCTTGCATCTAGCACATTACATTTGTGCTGGAAGTTTTCAACCTCCTCATGTAGGCCCTCTTTCTCCTGCATCCTCCAGGCAGTCAAAGAGGGTGACAGGCTCCACGTGTGTACACCACCTTTACGAGGGCACTGACTGTGTTCAGGTGCCTGAGTTCCGCTTCAGCACTGGTTTGCTCCACGGCACGAAGCAGAGCCCGAAGATCACATACTTCGCTTTCCAAGGCTTTACACATCTGCCTCTGCCTCTGCTCCTCACGGCAAGCTCTGGCTAGCGCATCGCTGGTCTCTTCCATTTCCTGCACCTGCCTGGTATCACACAAAGTGAGAACCGGTCCGTGATTGCGTCACAGTTACTTTCCCATTTGCGAGACGTTGTCGTGTTTCACTTCGAATGTGTGTAAACGGTCCCTGGAAAAACGAGTGAGACTTTCACCAGAAGAGGGGCGATATTACTTCAACTGCTGCACCGCTTGCTCCAGCCCGGAAATAACGGACACTCTACCGTCGCAATGCTTACACTGCCATGATTGACATTAGTGTTAACAGCACAGCGCGCATAGGATACAGGTCAGACTCCTACTATTCCTCCCGGCTCGTTGCTGGAGCACAAAAAAGTGAGATGAGAAGCAATTGAGCAAGAGACTTACATCCCCTCGAGAGCTCTCTTGGATGCTTCAAGTTGAGTTAACCTCCGCTCGTCTGCACACACATAAACGTCAGCGAGTGCATGTGCGCAAAGGCGACGGACTGGCTTGCACTTCAGCATCTTCTGGACGCCTTGACACACGACACAGATGGAGGTAATTAAACAGAATGAGCAACTGTACACCTGTCGCTCTCGCTTCCAAAACCCGCAGCAGCGAAGTATCTCTTCTGCATCTCTTCCTATAGACAGCGGGGAGCATGAGAGGAGGTAAAGCGCCTTACCTTTTCTTTCCTCAGCACTCCACATGTCACTTGCAGTCGTAAATTGAGCTGCGTGGACTGGATGTAAAGGAGCTTCAACTGCACCGGATATCAAAGCAGAGTCCTCGGGCACCACCACGTACCTTGTCAAAGTTTCGGCACAGCGCCGCATTCGGTTGCCACGCCACCTCTGTTGCAGGACCAAAACAGTCCTCCACCTCGCCTCCATCGCCATCCAAGCCGAGCTGCAGGGGCTGCGCCAACTCTGATGACTCCTCCGAGCCCCCCTCCATTGCATGGAGTTTTAGGGTAAAAGGGTTGCAATGCCGCGGCATCTTGAAGCTGCGCCAATGTCTCAAGCCATGGCTTGCGCACAAAAATCTTACTACGCTACCGGTGTTACCACTCGCTTGGATATACCGTAACACAAGCGGCGGCGGCGGCGGCGGGGAGACAAAGCTGAGGAGGCCCCACGATGGACACAGATCGTCCTTATTGCTACCCGTACGAAATGCACAAATATTGCACCTTAGAGCGCCCGTTCAATCCATCGCCCCGGCAGCTCGAGGTGCCCTCTGGTTTGTTCTTCTTCACAGGAGGAGCTACAGGAAGAGACCATAGCCACGCTTCTCCAACCTTATGCAAACAGCGCCGTCAGCAGTTAATGCCGCACTCCTCCAAGCTGGGACCAACCAGCTTGGGAATGAAAGGGTTAATTCGCACCCAGAGAAGCGAGAAGATGGATGCTAACAGAATGGACCATACGATGACGATTGTGGGTGTGCGGTTGTGCCTAGCCATGATAGCCTTAAGGAATGGGTAGAGGTGCGAGATCACCCAAAAGGCAAACAGAAGTTTGCCAAGCAGTGGCCCCCATGACTCGTAGCCGTTATTGAGTGTATCTGACAGCCCAGCTGCCACCCCTACCATATTGATCACCAGAATTGTCAAGGGAGGGACGAGAAGGCTGCTCCATCCGGTTCCGGTTGAGATACAAACGCAGGGAGGGGCTTCAAAGCTGAAACTGTCACCACCACCCAAAACCTTGACGAGGCCTTGGAACAATGCAACCAAGTGCGACGAGACGCCTCCAATCACCCACAACTGCTCATCTTGCCACCATTCCTCCGCGCTCACTCCACTCCACCGCATCTCTAGGATGGCACTTGCACCAATGCACAAGAGCACTGTCATGAGCAACAGGCTGGCTGACCTTCCCAACTGCATGCGAGCGTTGGATGAAACAATGGCACAAACGTGACACACGTACCTCGGGAAGGATGAACTTGCCAGTCAAGAGGCACACGGCAGGCAGTGTGCTATAGACGACGAGTGGAATGGAGTTGAGAGGATGGAAAGCGCTGCTGAGGTAGGCCAGCCGCTGAAGCAGCTTGAGGCGACCACCATAGCCATACCACAGTGGACAGTGCTTGCTCAACACAAGCTCCATGCTGGCCATAGATTGCACCAGCAATTGTTCCAATTTCCCTGCCACGTCCAGCAGCCCACAACTCTTGAATGCTGGTCGCTGAGGCATGCAGTATGTGGAGCGCCAGCCCCTGGCATGCATCAACATGCCGGCCACACAATCGCCTCCCCCGTAAATCCAACCAACCTGTGACCAAGCAAGCGTCAGGCCTTTTCCCAGCAATTTTCATCTCTCTTTACCTCTTTCCCCCACTCGGTCTTGTCCTCGTAGCCGCAGCTGATCACGTGAATTGCCTCTTTCAGAAGAGCCGACGTCGATAGGCTACCGTCATCGTTGGACAGGCTACCGTCATCGTTGGGGCTACTAGGAACTGCTTCTTGCCTCGTTGACGCCACAAACACCGGTGACTGCCCGTAACGCTTCTCCAGCCTTTTTTCGTCACCTGCGTCCAAATGTTTGTATAAGGTGCTAAAAACTTGCAAAATGGCACGCACCTTCTTCGTCCCCCACCCGGCAATGCAAGCGCTGCCGCGCTTTGCCGCTCACAGGTGCACACACGCCGTACAGTGCCTGTCGCCGGAAAACGCATCCCCTCCCGACATACATGGGACCCTGGATACCATCCAAGCCTTTGAGATTTATCTGCCACACAGTCGTGCGCAACTCAGAAATCCAGACAAGAGAAACTGGTCGCCAACTCACGTCAAAGAAGACAGCATGCTCATTGTCATGGCTGCCGAATCTCTGCGGAAACTGCACAAAGCACGCCTTTTTCCCAACCATTGTGTCCATCATAAGACACATTGCCTCACGCAGTGCGCGGCTGTTGTTGACATAATCAGCGCAGTTGACGTCCACAACATACGGGGCGTTTGTCAAGACGGCGGACACACGCACCTGTTTACGGAGCAAGGCGTGATCAGTGAGTGATCTAAACAGTTTAAACATTGGTTTCACCAAAGCATTCATTGCTCCCGCCTTGTTGTGATGCTTGAATCCGGGGCGTCTCTCTCGGGAGACGTACACAAGACGTGGTAGCTCATTGCCGTCGCTGTCGTGTCCCCCGCTGTGACCAAGAAACACCTGTGCATTTGCGAACAGGTTTAACTAGACAACTGCTCTTTCCAATAATAATTACCTGTATCATGCCTGGATGGTCTCGGCTGTTGGTTCCTGGCCATGGGGTTCCATCTTGCATGCTCCAGCCTTCTTCAGGAACTTTGGCAGCCTTCTCCACCAACGCATTGATTCTCACTTTGAACTCTTCGTACTCTCTCTGAAATATTACTCAGCCAGAACAAAAGATGAAAAAAAAAAAGCATGCATGCCTTCATTGCCCGCCTCTCCTTGACGAAAGACGATTGAAACTTGGTGTCGGCATAGTCAATCTTCTGGGCAAAATAGACTTGGGGGGCACGAGGCTCGACGTTAAAGCTCCTGCAGAAAGGCACCCATTTTCTCGCAAATTCCGATGTCTCGCAAAGGCCTTCAAACGTAAGCATGGCAGCGCTGTCGTCCGAGACATAGCACGAGAGCTTTTCGACGGGGTAATCAACAGAGAGGACGGAAAGGACGGCGTTGGCTGTGGCCAGAAGAGGGTCCTTAAACGGGTCCTCCGTCGCAACCAAGACATCTATAGCGGGCAGGCCGCACACCTGCCCTTGTTTCTCATACCTTTTAATCATCAATCAGTCGTAGCAAAACCTCTGATATCGTCTCACATACCTGAGGGCAAGGCGGTCAAGGTATGTCTCCCTTACAACTGGGAACCATTTAGGAAGTTGATGAGCTATCCAAGAGAGAGCGAACCAAATCTCGCACACAACTGATGTCAGCCACAAGCCATATGCATTGCCAACTGGATTTAGAATGCGGAAGCGGAAGTAGAAAGCCAGAGCTACGAGCCGAATGACAATGACCATCCTGTAAGGGTTGACCAAACTCGAAGCAATAGGAACCTTCCTCGACAGTGGTTGCCTTGCCTGGTCCATTCTGCAAGTAGCAACAAATGCTGCTGATAGCCACAGAATTGGAGTGTAAAGCATACACTGGTAAGTCTGGTGAGTAGAAGCTCTCGGCGCTGGCATCATCAGCTTTGGCATGAGAAGGTTCAGCCGTCATCATCTCATATCTTTCTTTTCGTAGCCTCCAGCCTTCCAACCTCTTCTTCCAAGATACGGTACCATAACCATATGATGCCTGTGCCTCTGTCACCACATAGACACGCATGTCTCCTTGACGCACAGCGGCTAGGAAACGGCCATTACCTTCCATGTAAGCAAGTGGATGGACACGGCTTCTACCGGTAGCAGCACCACCCGTATCTGACGCTGGGACGACAATGGCATGATATGCTTGCTCGCTTCCCTGAATTGGATTCGTCACGGAAAGAGAGATTGTTACATGCCGTGGATTTTCTAAGCGAGCGATTACCTCCGCCGCAATTCGCTGCTCCAGCGCCTCATTGCGAGGTTGCGTCGCCATGATTCAGCCCTGCCCAAAGCGTGAGGCACGGAACAAGCGAGGTCGGGAGCTTAGGAAGTCGCTCCTCGCATTGTTTTGCTTGCTGGGCGCGACACAAGAAACAACAAAGAGGGGCTTGTCACGTCCTTGCCCCATCCGTCCATTCCACTGCACGGCAACAAACAAGGATCCCGCCTCTGTTAGCGCCACCATCATGCCAACATTCTCGCGGATTTGGCTTGTTGGGCTGCAGTCAGGGACGGCAACATCCTATTCCTGCGGCCAGGTCAACATTCCTCGTATCATTGTCACACTTTCTATAGACTTTAGGTACCAAAAATACAAACACACACACGCACACACCACCCACACAGACACACACCACAGGAGATGGGACTACATCTCATCGATGACCGCTGCAATCCGCTCCAGTTCCGGAGACATGCACATGCCCACGCCGATGCCCATTGCAGCTTGCTGTGACCAGCACAGGCTCTGCCCCGGATCCTCTTGTTTCAACGCCACCTCCTGATCATGACATTTTTCAAACTCGTGCACCGCGAACGACACCGGCATTAGCTCACACCACTGGACCACATTACTGTGCTCATCCGCTTCCACCTCCTCGCCCCCCGTGGCTGTAGCGCTACTGCTGCTCGCCGTGTTGCTGCCAGCTCCTGCTGCTGCAGCAGCTACTGCTTCCCCGGAGTTGAAAGAGTCGCCGTAGTACGCCAGCCCCCCCCTGCTACTGACCATCCCAAATCCTTCCTCAGCCGCTGCAAGGAAGGAGAAGAGACATGGGTCTGGCTGGCGTTGATCCCCCGGCCCATGCCCTTGCAACATGTGCAGCTCGTTGTCGTAGGACGAGGAAATGAGCGCAGAGTCGTAACAGCTGTAGGAAGATGCAGATGGCTGCCTGGTGTGATCAAGCCCACTCGCCAGGAATTTCTCCACCAGAGAATCCGTCAAGTGAATGTTGCTGCTGCTGCTGCTACTGCTGCTGCTGCTGCTGCTGCTTCCCTCGAGAGCTTGGAGCTTGAGCAGGTGGTGGCGTCCAACACCAATGGATCGAGTAGTGCAAGTGGGGTTGAAAAGAATGTCCTCAAACGCGCAAGGGTACAAGGTCGTCGTTCTGTGATGCAAATTACACTCGACACTCACGTTCATGTCCATGCTTGCGGCTGGCGATGCGGAACCTGTAGATGCCACCGCCAGCCCCGCTTCATCCAGCGGCCTGTGCGTGTTGGGATCGATGCCAATTTGCTTGAGCTTCTTCTTGATGCACGTGTTCCAGTAGTTTTTTATCTCGTTGTCTGTTCTCCCGGGCAACTGTGTGGCGATTTGAGACCATCTGTGGCAACGCTCGTAATGAGCAACGAATTGGCATATATGCATGCATACTAGGAAGAGAAAGGTGCACCACCTGTTACCGAGGACAGCATGGAGCTCAATGATGAGCTTCTCCTCGGTTGCGGAGAAGACACCTCGCTTCAGATCGGGCCTGAGGTAGTTGATCCATCTCAGCCGGCAGCTCTTCCCGCATCGCTGAAGCCCTGGAAGCCAAGCCACCATGAAACCAGATTTTGTCAATGCCTCTCTCTTTCTCTCTCTCTCTCCAGTTTCACAAGAGCACCTGCTTGCTTTGGCACCGCACTCCAGCAGCCGTGGCCATACTTGGTAATGTACCTCACCAGCTTCTCATCCTCCTCTGGCGACCACAATCCTTTCTTGAGCTTCTGCTTCTGGCAACACGAGTGGCGGCCCATCCTTGACACAATCTGCCGCGGCTGCAACACAATTGACCTGTCGCAGCATCGAGCACCGGAGGAGGAGGGGATTAGGAGGCGGCGGCAATGGGCAATTGAAGCGAGGGAGGGCGTTTGGTCGCGGCACAGCGAGATCTGCTGCTTGACTCAATTCCGCTAACTTGGGGCTAAATACATGGAGGTGTTCGTTGAGCTGGAAAGGGGAAAATATATTATAATTGTGAATACCACCTTTCTTGCCTTTTCCTTTTTGCCCCTTGTTTCTATAATAAAGGAAAACAAAGGCTGTAGCCACTTCTCCTGTTGCCACGTCCTATGCCACTTGTCACGCACAAGCAGCGCGGGGTTCTACTACTTTGTTCTAGGTCGAGCAAGAACAAGAACAAGAAGAACAAGACCCAGGCAGGCATCGGCGTCGTCGTTGTCGTCGTCCAACAAAAGAGATAAGAGGTATAGTGTGTAGCCATGATGAATGTTAGAGCCTTGTGTGTGTTACTCTCGTCTCTGGGTGCCGTCATGTTTCTGTCCCCGGAGCCTACGGTGCGCAAGATGAACAAGGACGTGATTGTTGTGGAGGCCCATAGCGTCTCGGCCACCAACAAACTCGCGGAGGAGGATTACAGTGGCAAGCTCTTGTCTGCGGCCAAGCGCGGCCAAGACGCAGCTTCAGAGGCTCGGGACAGGCTGTCGGATTATGTGAGCGAGGGCGCAAGCAGAGGCGCAGAGTCAGCGGCCAGTGCACGAGACAGGCTCGGCGAGTCCTTGAGCTCCGCCGGCGATGTAGCACATCAAGCCGTTGAGGAGCAGCAATCTCTGGGCAGTAAGCTGGCGAGAGCTGTCACGGAGAGGGTTCAGGAGGCTGCGCACTACCAGCCCAACTTGGGCCAAGGCATTGGCTTCTACGACGCCTCCCACGGTACGCCGGAGGACCAAGACCTCAAGAAGTTGGAGGACTACCTCGAAGGTGCAAGGAGCTCGGCCAGAGATGCAATGGACAAAGCAACAGAAGGGCTTGGGCTTCTCCGGAACCAACTTCCAGAGCTAGAGCCGCACGAAGAGCATCCCAGCCTGGAAATGGCAAGGGGAAAGGTTCGCGACTACTACGACGTGACCAAGGCCGCTGTGCTCGACGCGCTCAGCAACAAGGAGCAGCAGCTGGGAAGGTCGCTCGATTCCTCCAAGCGTCGAGTTGAGGCCTACTATGACAAGGCCAAGCAGGCGTCCTTGGAAAGCTTGGAAAACCAAAAGGAGAAGTTGGGACACATTGTCGACGTGGTGAGGCTCAAGCTCAATGCTGGACGGGAGGCAGTCTTCAACTACGGCATGAGCACAATACAGAGCGGCAAGGACGCCGTTGTGGACGAGAAGAACAAGCTCTGTCTCAAAGTGCACGAGGCTGAAGAAGAAGCGGCAAGGTGGGGCAACAGCGCGCGGGAGAAGGTGAATCGAACGTGGAATCAGGCCGGTGCATGGGCTCACGATAAGATGGCCAAGCTCAACCAGTCTGAAGAGATGGCACTCCGGATTTGCAAGCAGTGGGTCCATAAGTCGGTGGCCACCTTCGTTCGCCTGATGCACTTGTTCCTCTTCTCGTCCACGTTTGGCAGTGCACTGTGGGTGACTTTCATCTCTGGATTCGTGCTCTCCAACAACATATCCCGCCACCAGTTCGCCCTGGTGCAGAGTAAGATTTTCCCCGTCTACTTCAGGATTGTTGGGTCGGGGATTGCTCTTCTCCTTGCAACGCACATACTGCTGCACTCGCCGCCAGGTGCCCACCTGTCGGAGCTGCTGCAGTGCTACAACCTTGCGGGGTGCCTGGTTGTGACACTGCTCAACACTTTCCTGCTGGAACCACGGCTGACAAAGGTGGGCGCCTCCACTGTTGCAAATTGTGCGCTAAGCCTGTCCTTGTTTCTGCAGTGTGTGTTTGACAAAGTACGGATAGAGAAGGAGGAAGGCAGAGCTTTGGATCCCGGCCCTGGAGAACGAGGAGGAGGAAGTGGTGTGGACGATCACGCCAGGAGGACGCAGCTGGGGGACGTGATGACAAGGGTCCGGGCGCTGCACTTCTGCAGCTCTGCTGCAAATCTTGCAATGCTGGTGGGGCTGGCATGGCATCTGTGGTACCTCAACTGCCGGTTGGGCATCTGATCCGGCATGTCCTGACTTGTCTGGTGTGGATATTGTCTCTTTTAAAAAACACATGAAGATCTGGGAATATTCGCGTGGCACAAGTTAGTTGTGTGTGCTCCAGGTTTTGAGGGCAAAGTATGGAGCGCCTCCGGCGGCATAGCACTGTTCATGGTTTGCCACTTCTTCCCATTTCCTCTTGTCGAGTTCGCTAGAGCGCCTGAATGGCGTGCTCGGTGATTATCGGAGAGCCGGTCGACCTCCTACACTTAGAGGACCCTGCCAGTGTAACTCTACCAAGCACCGTCGCTGGCTCCCAGGAGGAAACGCCCCCGGGAGAGAGAAAATGGCCCGGCTGGCCAGGGGATAATGTCTTTAGGCTCATTGTCCCTCTTCACAAGGTTGGTGCAATTATTGGGCGCAAGGGCGAGTTCGTCAAGAGAATGTGCGAGGAAACAAGGTCGCGCATCAAAATTCTCGACGGTGTACCAGGAACGCTAGAGCGCATCGTACGTAGCCTTTGCAAGTTTTGGCATCCAGCCATGCAATGCAACTTGTGCAGGTGCTCGTTTCTGCCAAGGAGGATCCCGAAGCAACTATCTCACCCGCAATGGACGGCCTACTCCGGGTCCATCGGCGAGTTACAGAGGGCTCCAGTGGCGATGGTGAACCTGTTGAGCACATCATTTTGCCCTCGGGCCTCGTTCAGTCTCGCCTTCTCGTCACCGCTACACAAGCTGGTAGCCTGATTGGAAGACAAGGTGCGACAATCAGGTCCATACAGGAGACCTCGGGTGCTACAGTCCGAATCATGCCAGTTGGTTCGTGCCCTTTTGTGCTACGTGCTGTTAACCCTTGTTGTCTCAGAGGAGCTCCCACTTTGTGCGTTAGCGGACGACAGGATGGTGGAAGTCCAAGGCGAAATCTTGAAGGTGCAGAAAGCCATGGAGCTTGTGGTCTCTCATTTGCGCAAGTTTCTCGTGGACCGATCCGTGCTCCAGCTGTTTGAGTTCAATGTGAGTTTTGCTGGATCCAGATCCATTGGATACAAAGTTCATAACGGTGAATTACAGCGCGCTATGTCGAGCCAAGTACAAGGACAGCAAGCTGCTGCTATTGCTACTTCATGGGCTACCCCCACAGTCGCTGCTACCACACCTTACTCGTCAACCGACTACTATGCGGATCAGGCGCAAAGCCAACATTATGCTGTCTCCATGTATGGTGGTGATCCTGGTCGGGTGGATGTAACAAGCACCACGCCAGCACCACCTGCTGAGGTAAACAACTTATAGCTTTCGCTTGCTCACAAAGCCTTTTGTTCAATCGTAGTCTGTGAGTCAGCAGCTCCAGGTCCCCCTCTTGTACGCAGATGCAATCATTGGAACTGCCGGGGCCAATATCAACTACATGCGGCGGACAAGTGGAGCAACCATTAGCATACAAGAGACTCCCAATGCCCCAGGAGAGATGACAATCGAAGTGCACGGGCAGTCGACTCAAGTTCAAACAGCACAACAGTTGCTTCAGGTTCGTTGAGGTTGTCACTGAGATTCCACGCCTCTCGTGCTTTCTCTTCTCTAGAATTTCATGGCAGGAGCTGCAGGAACAACTGCAGCAACCACTTGCACCACCTCCGACTACAGTTATACAACTCAAAACACCCTGTACGCGTCGGGAATGAGCTACAGTCCCAGTGCTTACGGATCACAATACAGCAGCGGCTACGTTTACTATGGCAGCTGAACGTAGGTCCTCACGTGTTTATCATTTCATTTTTGAGGACAGATTTTTAAAGTATTACAAGTTATGGAAACTTGCTTGTTCATTTACATGAGCAATGGTGGCGGCTAGGAGCGGGCCAGCAAGGGCTGAGCACACTAGAGTCCTCAATTCGGAGATGGACAGTGGGCTAGCGTCATGTGTTGCAATGCACATTGAAACGTCCGTGAGGCTGTAGTTGCTGCGAGCAACAACCTCATCAGCTCTCCAGAACGTGATATCAAACCTCAGCGCTTCTCTTTCAATTTCCATTTGCCTCTTCCGAACGCCCTCCCGTAGCCTCTCACGTCTCAAGGCTTCCCTGCCGACATCCGTAGCACTCTCATTGCCCCCCATCTCCCTCGGAAGCTCACGAGCTCTGCGTCCTAGTCTCTCCTTCCACGTTTCACTCCATGCCTCCATGTTCCCGTGTGATAACCTCTCTCCCATGTGATAATCCGGCGTCGCCCCTTCGGCAGGACATGAAGACGCTAAAGGATGATCCAAGGAAGCGCTAACCCCGTCCGAAGTCTCTCCAGAAGCGTAGCTTCCACTGTCAGCGTGGGAAGAAGACGATGCACAGGAAGACTCCAGTACACTTTGAGCGCTGTAACTCCCGTCGCCGTCACCATTTTCTCGCTCTCTTTTCCCAAGCTTCCACGTCTTGAACGCTCTGCTTTCTTCTCTCCTCCTTAAACTGAGCCCTTTGTAGTGTCTGTTTTCTTGCCGCCTCCTCACGCTTTCATCCATCCATTCTGCACTGCGTTCTCGCCTACGGTAGCTCCCAGTTCGAACAGACTTGTTGCCTCTGGTCCCTCTACCAGTTCGCTTAAATGGATACTTGAAAGCGAGCTCGCCCCTGCTATCGCCCGGTCCATGAATGCAAATCCCTTTGCAGTTTCTCCACGTCTCCGATGCGCCGTCAAAGGGAGTCCTCTGGTTATCTCCTCCTTCCAGGGTCGTGGCACAGCCCTCGGAACTGTGACTCAGCTCCTCCTCGTTATCGTCTTCGTCCTCATAATTTCCTTGGCTTCCTGAGCTCTCCCCTTGATCTTGTTTACGGCGTGAGCTGCAACCTCTGTTTTCGTCGCTTTCAAGCCACTCCTTTCCTTTCTGCATCAAGTCGCTGCTACACTCCTCACCCGCATTCACACTCTTGCCTTTTACGTCCTTACTGTCGTCCATTTGTTGCTGCCGTATTCTAATTTGCTGAATCTGGTGTTCGCGCATGAGAACCGTCACACTTTCTAGCATGTCCACAAGTAGAAACATTTTGAGCTTCTTAAACTTGTGAATAAATGCTGGCACTGAATCACGAAACTCATCCAGTCCTTGCACAATAGCAAATACTATAACGGGCACCATCCTCTTCAGCACGTCGTTGCTGGGAGCCACAACCTGCCTCAGGATCAACTGCGGATAAATCTGCTCGTCAGACAACGGCCAAGAGCAATCCTCATCTTCCTTTTCCTCCTCGTCCAAAGGACTGCGAGTTGTCGAGCTGTTCCCGCCGCTCGTCACGCTGTCTCTGTCCATCCTAACGGCCTCACCTTCGCCTTCTGACGAGCTCTCCCGCTCTTTTCTGTGAACAGGGTGACCCCGCAAGGCTGAATCAAACTCCGAAAACTCGCCAATTTTGGCCGCCATGAAGATAAACTTCTCCACGGACGATCCAATTTCTGCATATCTCATGCACCTCGCCCACGAGGGAGGCTCGTCTTTCGGTTGCCCAACTCTAACAACGAGAGCTTCCAAGCTGTGGAATCGTCTCACCATCATGAAAATCCGCTGCAGCTTATCAACATAAGATGTGAATTGGCCCGGGCAAACGATGCAGAGGGTCGAGACACGCTCGGATTGTTCTTTGAATGCTCTGGAAACTGCCATGCAGCGTACCAGGCTTTTGCAGTCACAGATCGCGTGGAAGATGAGCTGGTAGACCTCATCTGGAAGCTTGTCAAAGGGATCCGACGCGTCTCCCATAGCTCTTCATCAATGATGATGAAAGAAAGGAGGAAACACACAGGCCATTTGTGTCGCTCCTAGAAGAATCCTCTCAAAAGCCGCCCGCCGCTCACAAGAAATCTCCCTCCCCGCAATGCATACCTAGCCTTCCGGGTAATGAAGTTCCAGGTGTCAACCACAGCATCCCAAGCTCTTTGCAGGGCACTGTCCTCCGAGCTGGAAGAAGCACTTGGATGATTTATAGCGTCTCCTCCCACTCTACTTGCTAGGCCTCTAATGCCAGGCACTTTACGAAGCGTTCGTTTCCACTGAATCATTGCAGTCGCATAACCCTAGCTAGAGGCGCACCGGTTTAGGCTTAGCTAGTAAGCTACTAAATAGTCAACGGTCATGATAGTATTATGACCGTTCGATTTTCAGCTTCTCCTTACCCCAGCTTTGGCCTTGCTTTGAGGCCGCGCTTGTGGTAGAGAGGAGACGTCACTCGACTCGGATTCCGACTCTAGTCTCGCTGAGTTGGGCGCTTTGACCGAGCCAGGAGCGGTGGCAGCAGGAGGAGATTTCTGCTTGCCGCCCGAGCTCAACACTCCAGGTGCAGCAGCTTTTACTTTGACACTGGGACTGCCAGTGACTTTGGAGGGCATTCGCGCCGTGGACGTACCGGTGGCATGTCCGGTCCTTTTGTGAGGTTCCAGCTTCATCCTATGAAGTACATCATCCAACTTCCTCTTCTCATCCTGCCAAAACAACTACACAATGATACAAATATAAAACAAAAATTTACTTGTTCTTCCTTGCTCAGCATGTTCCACTCCTCTTCTTCCTTTTGCTTGTCAATGGCTTCAAATTCGGCCTGCGCGTCTACGTTCATGAATTCACGGAGTTATTAGGGTGTTCCGCACCTGCGAGAACTTCTCGTTTCCGGGGAGCCTGATGTTCGCGTGCTTCAGGCAGTCCGCAATGCTACGAGCGACGGATGCAACATGGCGATCGTTGTCATTAAGCCGTTGTGTTGCAAAAAAGTTTATTCGCTCTAGTGCCTGGACATCATCTGGAAGCTTGATGGCTGCTTTTAACAGAGGTATGAGTAGGCACGCTCGCATGCGAACACTGGCCACGGCATCCTGTACCGAGAGATAAATCCATGTTCCACGTTTATCATAGAGCAGACCTGTAGGACAACTATTGCTGATTCAAGAAAGTGTTCTTTGAACATTTGTGAGCTTGATGTCCTGCAAAACCCCGAGCTTCATGACGCATGACAAGGCTTAAGCACAGCAGACGAACTTCAACATGCTTTCGCAAAACTCTATAAACACCAAACGCGACCAGTAGCTTTGCCCATTTGCGAAGTCTTTTATC